GCGAGCGCTGGGCGGCAATCGATGATTCCGCGGACCGCGCATGGTGGACCTAAAATGTTACATTGACGGGGCCATGCATCATAACTGTACACTAAAAACGCATGAGACTACGCGCCGTTACGCTCAGAACCGCATAAGGAGCACGCCTGTGCCTGTCTAAGTTTCGTGTCGCTACAGAGCACGGTCTAGCAGACATGAACATGTTAAGCTGAACAAGTTCGACGTTTAAAAACATTTGGCCTTTGGTCTGACATTATGGGACCGAATATCGACTAAACAAAAAGAGTTATTACCAATCGTGGTATCTCGTTGAGACCAATCTACTGGTGTTTTCCGCTAGACTTAATCTTTCTTAGTTTAGGAAACAGCAGAGGGATGGGAGTTACCGTATCGGCCCCCCGTTATCAGTCCGCTTTACGAGACACAGCGAATCGGGGTGAAGGTTTTTTATCACTTACTTTCTTCCAAGTCACCGACCATGTTGATGAGCGCCGAGTACGCGCGCAATAAGCTAACGGCTTCAGGTAACAAGAGTGTAGTTTTCATTTTAGTCATAGCCCTCCCCCTTCCACAAATACAGTTTGATTCGTGCCTTTCCAACTTTGCGAAGGAAGTGGGAAAATCCACGAAAAACCATTTTGTTGGCATGCTTTTGAGGTGGGTCTCGTAAACTTTAACTGCCCAGTCCCCGGCAAACTCTTTTTGCGAAATGAGCCCCTGTCACGTGATTTGCTCAAAAAGGCATCACGAATGTTGTGACATCTTGTGGTGCGTTCTAGACACTCAAACGCAAACACAAATGTCTCACGCATGAGGTTTATCAGTGGAGAAGCCTATTTGTTGTTGTTATTTGTTGGTATCTGGGGCTATTCATCACTGTTCAGTTAACAAACTATACCCATATCGTCGGCGCAGTTTTGTTTTTGATGAGCCATTTAGGAGCCACTATGTATGCTATTTTATCTCCACTCTCTTCACTGTTCCTGAAAATTACTGATCATGATAGGCAAAAACACCTTTTATGTCAAACTCCAAGCACTGAATTTGGGGCGATACTCCGGATACGCTGCTGCATCCATCCCAATATACCCAAATGCCGCGCTTCTTAACCGAGGGCGCCCCGCTAGCCTCAGTCCAACGCCTGGTCGCCGATACCGACGACCGTCTTCTGCCGTCGGAAACGTCGATCGATCTGTCAAAAGAATTCGGTAGCGTCGAGCGTGATGTCCTGCTGTCCTGCTCACCGAGCTGTCTTGGTATGGCGTTACCCATGTGGGGCAGTTTGGGAGTGATTAGAGTGGTCGAGGGCAGGTGGTGCGGGGCTCACTTTCCGCATGTCATATGATGTGTCCTAGGGCTTCATCGTCGGTCCTATTCTGTTAATTTTGTGTACCAACGATCTACATAGATACCTGACTCATGGCCGCCTCACCTCCAAAGCAGACGGCATCGTGTACGTGGACTGCGCGCCCCCTGACGGACCCAGTCTCGCCGACCCTAAAACCAGACTGGAGCTCACCATTTGTGACCTTTACGCCTGGTTCAGTGTCAATCGTCTTCAAAGGAACGGAACGACAGCTGCTTTTATGGTCGTTGGGTTAAAGTAAAATAAAAAGTGAGCTGTCCACAACTTTAAAGTAAATGGTTTGACCGTGCATGCCTCAAATAACATCACAATTTTGGCGTTATAGCTGACTCCGGTCTGCCGTGGGATGCCCATGTTTTGAGCGTTGCGAATAGTGCAATGGCGTCGTTCTCTTCGCGTTCGCGTTTCTTCGTACAAATTTCGTCATTACTTCACTTGCGATCTTCTCAAAATCATCATCCAGGCGCACGCGCTCCCTCATATCACGTGGTGCCTGTGCGTGTGGGGTGGGGCGACCAGTAGTCAACTCCAAACAAAAAAACAAAACAATCAGCTTTGTTGCAGGAGTCGTTCTCGGCTAAAAAAAAACAGCTCTATGCAACTCCGGTTCCAAAAACACCACTATGCATCACCGGCTCCAAAAACACCACTATGCAACTCCGGTTCTAAATTCCCTTGGGTGGCCGATGATCGAGGCCATGGACGCGCACTCGACCGGATAAAAGTGCCAAGTGCGCTGAAGGAGGTAGGCGCGCCTCACGAGATCTGCGAGTTTTTTGCCCCACGCGCCACTGTTTCGAGTCGTGAAACGCGCGCCTCGGACAGAGGTACACTGCACCTGTGCAGGCACCGACTGACTGGCATCCAGAGGGCGTTTTTGTATCGAGCCGAAGCTGCCTGGAACCGCTTGCCGTCGTACGCCTGTGATGCCACAACATTGGGCACCGCGTTTAAGACCTCCATACATGATATTATTTGGACCACTGACCACTGATCTGATCCGACCCATATTGAAAAGATCGGTCCGTTTTAACTATTTGGTCATTACTGGTATCATTTTACTGTATGCCTTTTGTGTGTGCCATTGAAAACTGCACATTTTAGCATATATTTTGAAACACGACCATGGCCGCATTAGAACCGTAATAAACACCTCGTGGGTATTTTTCCATCTGCTGATACTGATACTGATCTCTAGACTATTGTGGGCACGCAGTGGCCGCAATAAAAAAGATATATCAATAAACGTGGCCATTCCGACAAGGTGGCACCATTGCCTCCGCTCATAACTATCTGTCAACGTATTCAGACATTTCACATTACACAAGGGAATGTATGAGTACGTAACTTTAAAAAACATACAGAAACGGCATCTAAATCTAGTCTAGTCACGGCGCATGGGCATCTAGTCACGGCGTCTGTTGCATTTATGTAAGTTAAGTTTTGCGAGCCTGGTGATTGCCGTTTTGTCTCGGTGAGGAATCCGGCGAGCAATCATGACAATATCGCGGAGAAATGAGGAACCCCTCCTTCTAGTTACGCGGATTGCCGGCAGGAGGGTGTCGCCAATATTTAGAGTTACAGCAAGAGCGCACAAAAAAGCACAGATACAAATGAAGCAAACAAAATATGTTTCTTGAAATAGTGAAGCCACACGCGTAACGTATTAGTGGCCGGGATACCACCGAAGAGTTTGCCAAGGAAGCAAACAAAAAGAAACCGAAAAAGTAAGGACATTCTGAAAAAGTGAAATCCCGCGCGTAACGCTATTGGAAGACGTCACGGCTTCTGAGGTTTCACGAGAGAATGTTTTTAAATATGCCCCAATTACTCCCTTTCAACCAGCTTGCAACTACTTGACAAGTAGTTCCAAATGATAACGTCTGGATTTGGATAAAGAACAATGGACTACAATATGAGGCAGATTTTAAAAGTACGGATGGGCCCAGATAAAAGTTAACACATGTTTTTCCAGCAATAGCAACTGCATTTGTCGCATAATCATAGCTGCGTTGGTTGTGCAACACGATCAGCGACAGCGGTAGTCTTAAGTGATCCCTTTTTCAGACCCACCAAAACACTCTTTGCTGTGAGTTACACCCCATTCTAATCTTTTCACACAAAGACAGCTCACATTAACCTTAATGAGAAGTCATATTCCTCTGCAGAGAAAAAATTAGCCTGCAAAATATTCAGCGAATTCTTATCTTAATTTCGAACACGCAAACTTAAGCGGTCGAAATCGGGGAGAAATCAGGCTTTTAGGGAGTCAAGCCAACCTTTTCGGTCGAGCCCTCCCAACCAGTTTTAGAAAGCAGCTCCCATGGTACCTTTCAAAAAACCCACAGCTCACTCCAAACCACTCAAAAGTTAAATTTCTCACATCTTTCTCGTGCTTTCAAATTATCCAAGTGTACCTCTTGCCGTTCACTAGTGGGATCTTGGAAAATGTTGCGAATGGGACATTCATGCGATTGTGAACTTTTTGCGTTCAATAGGATTGAGAAGGGTGAGGCGGTTATCGCTGGAAAAAAAATTACCATAACAGTGCTACCAATCCCAGTCAATATCTAAATGAGCAAGAGCTTTATCTGCCCAAGACAGTTAGGTTATACCGAGCTAAAAACGAAGAATGATACGGGAACGATTTGCGGGAACGAACGTCAAAGAAGCAGCTCAGAAACGGGGGTACCAAAATAGCACGCCTCTCTCTTCTTTCCAACTTGCTTCGGGTATTCCGGTACCAGAAAAACCAAAACAGGCACCACCGAGATTCGAACTCGGGATCTCCTGTTTACTAGACAGGCGCTTTAACCAACTAAGCCATGGCGCCACGAGAACATTGGCCTCTAACACTTTATTGGTTATAGTATGACCACAGTTAGACTGGCTGCAACCGCTGTTTTTATTTTAATACAATGGGGGGGAAGAATCATAATGAAAGGGTATGTTGAGAGGATGGGGAACAAACCAGACAACAAATAGCAATGACCTTGGTTTATGCTCAGCTGGCTTTGCTTCAACAAATGACATCTCGCCCTTACATGACGATTTCACAAGTGGGCTTGACGTTATTTACCCGAATTCTGAGAATTTTTGTTGGTCGAAACGAGCTTGCCAAACCACAATTTGACCCCCCCCCCCTCCCGGAAGTGCTGGTCACTTTTGGAGGCGTTGGACGCATCCCCGGATAATACCCAGAACCGTGACGTCATCAAATATCATTATTTCCAAGGACATTACGTAATATGGGATTTCCGTCTACATAAGCTTTCAGAAAAATATGACTAAGTCTAAAATTTTCCATCTATCTTTTAAAATTTAATATAATTAATTAAATTCAATCAATGGACTGGTCTTTTAATGCGTCAAATTATGAGTGTGAACTGATACTACTTTTCTCCTTTGGCGTATAAATATCCGTGTCAAATAGAGAGACAAATATGTTTACCATAAAGCTTCTCTCTAAAGGTGTTATTCAGCACAAATTTTGAAATACTGCCATTTTCAAATATAAGAAAACAATCAAGCGTGTCTGAACTTAATATTCTGAATTTTCATTTTAGCAAGATCCCAAGAATAATACACAGGTGGGGGGTGCACTTTATTACCCTCTAGAACGTTCGATCTTTCCGGTGAGTTCCTCCGCGCGACGGGCAGGTCCGGTGAGGCACGGAGCTAAATCTCTCATTTCCGTTGATTCTGTGTGCCATTCGGAGGCCAACAGCTCGGTTTTACGGATTTACGTAATTTTGAAGATTTTTGGAAGATAGCTTCGTGCCCGGTACCATACTTGGTGAGTACATGGCCGTTCTTGTCATGGCTCTGGGGCCGGTAGCTTGCCGCAATCGACTTGCCTGTGGTTTGGGTCTTCCGTTGCAAGCTTTTGGAGTGATGAACAATCGGAGGGGCATCGTGCGTGGTATATTATCACTTTTGGATCATGTAGGGATTTGTGGACGCTTTTTGGAGTCGACAACTGATGGTACGGCTGTTGCTAACGATGTAAGGGATTGCAGTTCTTTCTATAGCTTTGGGCGCAAGTGACTGACATCGGCGCGTCCGGAAACTTAGTTCGTCATCTTTCTTTAGCTTTGTGTGCACATCTAATGGTCTGAGGGCTAGGTGTCTGCCTGCTACAGCCCTAGCTGGGTACCACCTGCTGTAGCTGTGCATGGCCATCAAGTTATTGGCTGCCCCTTAATTGTATAGGCTGGGTCCAGGATTGGCCTTGAGTAGTCTGCTGGTGTGGTTTGAAATGTACAGATGACTGGACATGTGGGCCCATTGCGGTATCAGGGGGGAGACCCTGCATATCCTCGCATGTCTCCCTCAATGGAATCTAGTTTGAAACCCAATCATCATTGGCAAGTACTCCAGACATTTTCAGGATGTCTTTACATCCATGTACATTAACATTATGATGTTTTTTAAATGTTTTTTTACAATATGCATATCAGCTGGTCAGTTCATTTCATCTGCCATGTAGTGGGCAGTGTGCCTGGCCCATGTTGGTGACACCCCAGTGCTTCCTGGACTGACTGGCTGAAGCTCTGCCCATTGCCATAATAACCCATTTTGGAAAGTGTCACATGTGCCTGTCAAGAAAGTAAGGAATATTTTGTGCTTCAAAATATATTATAAATATGACAAAAGTATGTTATATAAGCTCAAGATTGCATAGGAAATGACTGCATTGAGTTGTGTGCACCAGCAGTATATTTTATTCTAAGCATAATTAACATGATGTCATGGTATCAGTTAAGTTCAAACCCTATGCATCTTCATAAATTGCTGGTCATGCTTCATTACTCATGAATTGGGATCAATATTAAAGCATGAAGTAAAGCTTCAGTGGTACCATGTCATAGGAACTTAGTGCAAGGAGTGAACAAATGTTATATGTCTTCTTACCATTTCATTTTTCATCCTATAACCCAAGGCATGATCATGATGGGCCTTCTTGTATAACACTAAAGCAAGGTGTGTTCAGCTTCTTCAGCACCCATATGGGAACCAGGGTTTGAGACCAGGCTTTGCCATAGCCCTAACCAGTAAAATGACCACTGCATTTGCAGATGTTCCTTAAAAATGGGCATGACAGAGTGTATCATGCTCCCTTGAAGAAGTAAGGATAGAGATATAGAACATTCATCATGACCCATCAATCAACATAAATAAGCTTGCTTCTCCTTTATCTGGTTACCAGGCCTTGAATCTGTATAAGAAGCTGATGGCTGGAAAGTGTGAGTTGTCTGGTAGGGTCAATCCATAGGCGTGAACGGATTGTTTACCATCCGTGGATGCCTTTCAATACATACAGCTCTGGTGATAACAGTAATTTAAGTGAAGTGTTGGTATATTTTATCAGTTTGTAATAAATAATATGCATATTTATGAAATATGATAGTGTGGGTATAAGTGTAGGATATAATTGCAGCAAATACTTCTATTAATTTAATGATATGAATAGAAATGTGTACATACAGTCCCTAATATCCTCCATTTTTCTTTCTTCTCCTTAGCACAGTAGCATTAGTAGCACAGTACATTAGTAGCATTTGTTACCTTAGCACAGTTGTATGAGTTTGTTTAGCATGGGAGTCTGTGCTGTGGTCCGCAGCTTGTGGGGGGGGGGGGGGCGTGTCCAGGCATGCTGCCGTGGGTGGGCTGGCTGTGACGTGCTGTACTGCAGCTCTTTGGGCCAGCCAGTCCAAGGTCATTGCTCATGGGTGGTCTCCCCCCCCCCCCCCCCCCCAGTTGGCCTGGGCTTGTGATGTAGTCCCTGCTGGTGCTGCATGCCACATGCCGCCGTGTCCCGTCCCGCAGGCGCAGGGGCCGTCGGGACTCAGCTGGCATCTGATAGTGAAGTTCATGTGCCACTAAATGGACGTATGATGTGAAGACATGTTTTTTTACTGTCATGTCAGCGCAGACTACTTTGTGCTTAGTCAATGAACTCATGGAGTCAATGTGGGTGGTAAGAATTAAGAGAAGATGACTCAATTGGGCTGATCAGAACTAAGAGAAAATGACAGGGATTTTGGGGGGGAGGCATTGCCACCAAAGACAGCTGGTGGATAAATAAAAACAGTGTGTTTGCAGACAAAATGTTGATTGTTTGCTGATATAGTATTTCATGCTTATATGTATCACAAAAATAATAGGATGAGTCGGACATTTGATTGTCAGCAATTTTTCATTTTTGGGAATAGGAATAGAAGTATAATTGCTGTTACGAAGTTGTGGATGGAAACGGATCCCTTGGTTTTGGAGGGGTCATTTAGCATTTGTTTTATACCGAATACAGAGGTGTTTTGTGCGTGTTGGTGCATTTCATCTTATATGGCATAGCTGTAATTTTAAGCCAAGGTCCTTTGTAGGCAGCTTTGTCATGACTTGAAGGCAAGTTGTGTGACTGAAAAGGGCCATTTCTCACTGGTTATGGGGTGGGTCAGTTAATCATTAGGTGTGATGAGACATTGTATTTCTTTTTCCAGGCGCAAAATAACTAGAACCTGTGTACCTGACGCGGGCAAGTGAGCTTTTTCACGCAACCTACAACCAAAGGAACTCACCATGTAAGTCAATTTAGTTAGAAGTGTTGTTTGTTCCAGCCATTTTCATTTGTATTGCAGTGCATTCTTTACTACACGCTGAACTGCCATGGTTGGGCAAGGAGCTGGCTGTTTAGTCCGTACTCCTAATCAACTGTGGCAACAAGAATCAGCCCAGGAAGATCCCAGACTGTGCAGTGTTAACAGTACTGATTCATGCCCTGGTCACACCTATGACTCTTGTACCCAACCTGTGTCTTACAAGAAATGTTATCAGTGTATGGTATTTTGCAGCATGTGGTGGTTGGCTGTAGACCATGGCAGATGTGAGTGGCAATAATCGTGGTGTGTTGATTGCGGCTTGTGAGCTCACCTTGCCACCACCCCTCACCACCTGCCCTGCCCTGCTGCTGCCAGGTACGGAGGCAGCAGCTTCGGCAGTAGCTTCGGTGGCGGGTTCGGTGGCGGCTTCGGCGGAGGCCGCATGAAGAGCAGCCAGCCCGGCGGCAACCTGCGCCGGCCGGACTGGGCCACCATCAAGCTGACGCCCATCCAGAAGGACTTCTACCAGCCGCTGCCGCAGGTGCTGGCCCGCGGGCAGTCCGAGATCGAGGCGTACCGCATCAGCAAGGAGGTGACGGTGCGCGGCTCCGTGGTGCCGGCGCCCATGCTGGAGTTCAGTGACTGCACCATGCCTGACTACATCCTCAACACTATCAAGTGAGTGGCGCGGCGACGGCCGTGGCATTGCCAGCCAAGGCAGTCGGGTTTTTGCGGTCAGATATTAATTTTGTGGATGGGGCAGGTATTTGACTGGGAGAGTGAGTCATTGCAGGGCATGCAACTGAGGGGAGCATATGATCTCTGTTGGATTACTGACTGAATGCACCTTTGGTGCAGCTGTCATCTCCAGTGTTTGATGGTAGTCAGGAGACATTTTGGTGCCATGGTTGGGCAAGGAGCTGGCTTCCTAGTCTGTACTCCTAATCAACTGTGGCAACACGAATCAGCCCAGGAAGATCCCAGACTGTGCAGTGTTAACAGTACTGATTCATGCCCTGGACACACCTACTGTTCATGCCACACAATACTTGAACAGTTGTGGTCAATGCAGGTCAGCTACACCAGCCAGCCATTGCATGGCGGTGCAGCAGCATGTGTGTGTGTGTGTGTGTGTGTGTGTGTGTGTGTTTATATGTGTGTTGCACCACGTCCGCACTGCAGCCCAGTCACATTCCATGTGGATGTATTTGTGTTGTTTTAGGTTTCCTTCCTTTCATTCTGCGAAAATAATGAACAGGGTCACCTGCCAGAGTATGGCAGTAACCTGTAACCTATTAGTAACAAACCTAATCATTGTGATCCTGCTGCGCCTTGCAGGAAGAACGGCTTCACGAACCCGACACCAATCCAGGCTCAGGGCTGGCCGATCGCCCTCTCTGGCAAGGACATGGTGGGCATCGCCCAGACAGGCTCGGGCAAGACGCTCGGCTACATGCTGCCAGCCATCATCCACATCAACCACCAGGTGAGTGGCTGCCACGGACGCTGTGAACTCGCGCCGGGTCGGTCAGTGGCGGCGAGGGCCGCAGGGCATGACTAGTTGAGATTCTGACGTCCCCTCCTGTTGAGGTGGCTACCCGCAGCGCTCGTCACGAGCGTGTCGCGCCCCACTAACGCTCCCCGTTCCCCGCCCCGTCAGGACTACCTGCGACCGGGCGACGGCCCCATCGCGCTGGTGCTGGCGCCCACCCGCGAGCTGGCCCAGCAGATCTCCGAGGTGGCTAACGAGTTCGGCCGCAGCTCCAAGCTGCGCCACACGTGCGTCTACGGCGGCGCGCCCAAGGGTGGCCAGGTGAGTGTCGGCGGCGCCAGCCCAGTGCCCCGAGTCCAAGAGCCCCGAGTCCCGAGCACAGAGTCACCCGCGCGGCGACACCGGCTGGCCGCCGGGTGCTAAGTTGTTCGAACAGCGACACGCGCCGTTAGACACCCCGGCCGCCTGGCACGGCGCCCGGGGTCACCACTGTTGCGCTACACTCACTCGGTGGTCTCCGCGCTGGGCGGGTGGTGTTTGTGATGCGCCAGCTGCCAGTCTGCTGCTGGTCTTTGCCGTCGTCTCCTGTGAACACCTCTCGGCTCCGGCTGGCTGAGTGTGACTTCGTCCACCGTACGGTCCGTCTTGCGCCGGCTGACCGGTGACCGGTGTGCGGCAGCTGCGTGACCTGGAGCGCGGCGTCGAGATCGTGATCGCCACGCCCGGCCGGCTGATCGACTTCCTGGAGATGGGCAAGACCAACCTGCGGCGCACCACCTACCTGGTGCTGGACGAGGCCGACCGCATGCTCGACATGGGCTTCGAGCCGCAGATCCGCAAGATCGTGGAGCAGATCCGGCCCGACCGGCAGACGCTCATGTGGAGCGCCACCTGGCCCAAGGAGGTGAGCTGGCGCCGGACGCGCCGTGGCCGGCTGACGGCCGACCCATATATAGGCCAGGTGGATTGGTGGTAAAACGGTCGCAGTGGCCAGTTGCCATCTGTTACAGTGTCTGGCTGCATTGAGAGAGTAGGAAAATTTCTAGCTACAGCTCCCTATCATGCTGCTGTTTTGCTGCATTGGTTGTAAAAGTGACCACAGGTAATATGTGTTATGCCATGGTTGGGCAAGGAGCTGGCTTCCTAGTCTGTACTCCTAATCAACCGTGGCAACATGAATCATCCCAGGAAGATCCCAGACTGTGCAGTGTTAACAGTACTGATTCATGCCCTGGACACAGACGTGTTTGGTATGTAGTGGGGAACAGCCACACATCCATCTTGACCATTGGGAGTGTGTGCTGTGTGATGTCTCCAGGTTAGGTAAGACAGCAGATGGATGCAGTGGCAATGGTGGCCTGACCAGTGTGCCGCGCCGCAGGTGCGCCGGCTGGCCGAGGAGTTCCTGGTGGACTACACCCAGCTCAACGTGGGCTCGCTCGACCTCTCCGCCAACCACAACATCCTGCAGATCGTGGACGTCTGCGAGAGCCACGAGAAATTCCAGAAGTGAGTCGCTGCTGCTGTCGCCCATCTGTCGCGAGTGTGGAGGCTGTGCTTCTCTGCGCGCTGCCATGAGATGCGATGTACTACGTCTGGTTTGGGGCGTTACGTCCGTCCTCGGGTGCGGCGTCTGGCGCCAGTCCCGTGCCCCGTGTCCCGAGTCCCGAGTCCCGAGTCCCGAGTCCCTAGTCCCGAGCACAGAGTCACCCGCGCGGCGACACCGGCTGGCCGCCGGGTGCTAAGTTGTTCGAACAGCGACACGCGCCGTTAGACACCCCGGCCGCCTGGCACGGCGCCCGGGGTCACCACTGATGCGCCACATTCGCTTCTGATAGTATGTCGCTTGCGTAGGCCGTGCCACAATGGAGCAAGGAGTTGACATGAAGCTTAATGAAAATGCATTCAACAAAGTCAGACACGCTTCTTGCGGGTATCAGACGTCAGGTGTCCGGTGAGATGTCCCATACCTGTGTGGTGCGGGCTGTTGGTTGCCCTCCTCTGCTCCTTTCTGACACTGCCCTCTGTCGCTGGCAGGTTGTTCCGCCTCCTGGAGGAGATCATGGCTGAGAAGGAGAACAAGACTATCATCTTCACGGAGACGAAGCGCGGCTCTGATGAGCTGACGCGCCAGATGCGGCGCGAGGGCTGGCCTGGCATGTGCATCCACGGCGACAAGACGCAGCAGGAGCGCGACTGGGTGCTGCGCGAGTTCCGCAGCGGCCGCTCCCCCATCCTGGTGGCCACGGACGTGGCCGCCCGTGGGCTCGGTAAGTGACGCGGCGGGCGGCGGGCTGGCCAGCCGGCGACGGGGGAGGGAGGGAGGGGCGCCCGGCGGCCTCGGCCCAGGTCAGTGGCGGCGGCGACGGCGGCGCGGGCAGCAAGGAGACGCGACGGGACGCAGGCGCTCGGCCGGGACTCGGCCAGTCACAGGCGGTACCAGCCGCGCAGCACTCTGTAGCGTAATGCGACGGACAGGCACCAGGCGCGCCGTCTCGCCTCGCTCGCCTTGGGGCGGGCGGACGGACGCGCGCGCGCTCTGACCGCCGGCCGGCACACGCCATCGGCGCGTGCGTACCGGGCCGGCCGCTGCGGGCGCGGGCTCTCCGATGGCGCCCGTGTCAGTGGCAGTGCCTCGCTCTGTCCCCGTGCTGTGGCGGCGGCGGCTGCTCCGGCTGGCCGCCGCCGCCCTTGTGAGTGTGTGGCCCGCCGGGCCGTGACTGTGGGCCGAGCTCAGGTGCCGTGCGCTGTTGCGTGTCTCCTTGTGGGCGGCGTGCGGCGGCTCGGTGTAACGGGCCGGCGCGTGCCGTCTGCCGCTGTGTTGCAGAGACTGGCGGCCGCCGCGGCGTCCCGGCTCGCGGCCGTGCTGACGGCCTCACGGAGCCGGTACGTACCGCGGCGGCTCTGGAGCCCCGCAGAGCCGGCTCGGGCCGACGCCAGCCAGCTCCGGGGCTAGGGCCAGGCTGGCACGCGGCGGGAGCTCGGTGGGCAAGCTGCCCAGCTGGGTAGCGGGGAGCCGGGTATGCGTCGTAAATTTCTTGTCAGACTAGTAGTTCGGGACGAGGGCACCACCAAACGGCATCAGCTGTGGACTCTCCGGACAAATCAGCCGTCGTCGAAAGCTCAGCGTACCGTGGACCGGCCTTCAAGCCTGCCGGAAATCAGAGGCTCCAGACTCCCAATCCGGCGTGGGGATCCTTGATCTGTACCTTCCCCGCCCGCCACATGACCGCGCAGTCGAGGCACCCGAAAACCCGCTTTCCCCGTCCACCACGTAACGTACGAGAGATCGCGGACGAGGCTTAGCGATGGGCGGCACGTCAGCCATCGGCGAGGCCGTGGCGTCCGGCCGCGGTCCGGCTGGACGGCGCGGCGCACGCTCCCCACGCGCACTCCGCCGACGCCCCGGTGAGTGGAGGTGTGCCGCGTGACGCGACGCCGCGTAACGTAACGTAACGCAGCGCGGGCGGCACTGCTGCCGCCATGTGGTCGCTCGCTTGCTGGGAGAAGCGGCGGCGCCGGCGGCCCGCCGTCGTTGTGCGAGCGGCTGCCGCTAGTGGCGTCCGACCCCGGGGCCCTGAGTCCGGGGCCCGACCTCGCGGCGTCGCGGCCGCTCCGTGCTGGCGGCGGCGGGCGCGCCGGCGGCGGCTGCGTCACGGCGTGAGACTAACCGCCGACCCGTGCGCGTGCGCTGCCCGCCTGACCTCTGACCCCGACCGCGCGCAGACGTGACTGACGTCAAGTTCGTCATCAACTTCGACTACCCGAACAACTCTGAGGACTACATCCACCGCATCGGGCGCACCGGGCGCAGCAACAACAGCGGCACGGCCTACACCTTCTTCACGCCCGAGAACGGCGCCAAGGCGCGGGACCTGGTGTCGGTGCTGCGCGAGGCGAACCAGGTGGTGAACCCCAAGCTGCTGGAGCTGGAGAACTCGTCCCGCGGCTACGGCGGACGCAGTAAGTAGGCAGCACTGGCGGGGGCAAGGGTGTGCGCGTGTATGTGACAGCTCTCTATGGCTGTAACTGATGGAATTTGCGTGACTTCTCGGGTGGCTGTGAGTTCTTCATTCGAGCTATAAGACAGAAGTGGTAGCCTTATTCCTCGGAGAAAACCCAGGATACTGGAGAATAGTTTTTGTATGAGGAACAAGGCTATGAGTATTTACCTTTGTGTTATCCATATAATGTTCTTCACACATGTACTTAACATCTTATTTTATTCGAGTTATATAGGTATGTTTCTTTGAAGTCGCCTCTAGGCCCGCCCCCCCCCCCCCCCCCACCACTGCACATTGGTAGGTGCGACAGATTCATCATTCTCACGCCGCGCCGCTGGCCTAGTTCGCGGCGTATTCAGGAATCTGAGAGTATGGCGGCCCGACCGGACGCGGCGCCCGCGTGCTGCTGCTGCGCTAGCGAGCCGTCCGGCGGCCTACACTGCCCCTCCCCCCCCCCCCCCTTCCCTGGCCTTCCCCCGCGGCCGGTGCCAGCTGGAGTCTGACGTGTGTGTGTCCGTTACAGGCCGGTACGGCGGCGGCGGACGGCGGTCGGGCGGCGGCGGCCGCGGCTTCGGCGGCGGACGGTGGTGAGCCCTGTGCGGCCTAGGGTAGACATTCAATGTTTAATTTCACTTCATCTCATTTAGTGTTGCCACGCGCGCGCCGCCCCGTCTCGTGCTCGGGCCGGGTGTGCGCCGCCCGCGGCAGGAGCGGCCCGCACATTCCACACTGGGAGCCGCCGGGCCGCCGACACGTCCCTGCAGAGGCCGCGGCGCCGGTCCCGGTCCCGGTCCCGGTCCCCCTCTCTCCGTCTCAGGCTCTGACTGCTGTAGTTGTAGCCCCGCCCGCCACCGCGCCGCGCCGCGCCTCGCGCGGTGCAATGCTGCTGGGTGTCGCCAGAGCGCCGTCTGGGCTCTAAGAGCCGCCGGCCGGCGTACCTGAGTCGGTGTCTGCCAGGTGACGTCAAGAGACGCGCAAGCCTCCGTAGTGGAGTCGCCCACATCATTAGAGAACGTGCCGTGTCATGGCGCCAGCGTCCAACACGACTTGACGGAAGAACCGGGACGTCCGCTCTGGATGTGAACGTTGTATTTAATGTCGACCAGTCAACGTCTCAACACTGCTTGAACTGTGAACAACAAAGATGTCCGTACTAGGAAACACGCTGTATTACCAGTCGAGAGCGCTGAAGGCTGCTGAAGATGTCAACTGACGCACCCGTACTGGAAATACACGCTCTTTAAACGACTTGTGTTTAATGAAATTCAGGAAAGCAGTTGCCGAGAAATTTAAATAGATAAGATGCGGACATTTGGAGTGATGTGCAGCTGCGATTCGCCCTTCAAAGGCTCACCGGCATTTTGGTGGGTTTCTTGCTCTGCTTTACCGCGGTTTGCGTGTTGACCTTGAAAGGCATTCCTCGCAGCACGTCTTGCCGGCTGAGCCAGTATCAAGTCTGCCCGCATGGGTCGCGTGTGGCCGGCAGCTGTCCGGCCCAGTCTCTCGGCTTCCTTTGCCGGCCTCTACGTTCCACAAGGTGTCAGAGCAGGGCACATCCGCACGCGCCGTGCAGCTGGCATCACGCCTCCGCCCGCTCCGGCTTCCACGGCTCACCGGCCGCCGGGGTTTCCCAGTGGGCGGGCGGGGCCGCCGGCGCTCTCCGAGTGCAGCCGCCCCTTGTGGGAGCGGCGCCGCCCTCTGCCTCGGGTAAACGTGACGGTTCCCTTGCTAGTGTGACACCGGATCACCGGACTGGGCTCGGCTCAATCCAGCGGCACGCACACCATCATTCTACAACCGGCGCTGCGCGCGTCTCCCGCGCAGCTCGGACTGGTCTTGTACTGAAATTACGATGTCGGAGGATTGACGTCCGCTCCAACTGTTTTCATGTAAATTTAAATTTAAATTTCCACGTAAATTTATGACGCTAAGTTGTAGAGATTTGTGTCTCGACAAAAACTCCGGAAGCGGCAATCATTCGTTGCTAAAACGCACGTTTCTAGGATGCGTGACAGGCGACCCACTCGCGCTGGTATTGGAACGGCCAGAGGGGGATCGGTACTCGTCCGGGTTAAAGCCAGCCCGCCTCGCCCTCACCGCACTAAGCACCGCCGTCAGATATATATGTATATTTGGATCGACGTGGCTCCCGCAAACGTTTCTAAACCGTCTTCAGAACGGGCCACTGAAAGACGTCCATATTGTGCCGGGCCCCGGAGCGCCGGGAGCACCTCGGTGCCGCTGCACCGGCTACAGGCCAGCGGGCCGTGTCTCTGCACACGGCGGCGAATATGGCGAGAACGGTATCTCCGCGGCGCCACCACAACCGCTCCACCGGCCGTGCGTCAACACAGCAGCGAGTCGCAGCGGACACTAAGCGATGGGGTCTTGCGGCGAAGCCCGCCCGCGTGCCAGCATACAGGGAATGTGGGACGGGCTACGGTCGAGTACGGCGCCTCTGGTCGCATCAGCCTCGCGCCAAACTCGCAGAGGACTCGAGATCCAGCCAGCGGAGCGCACAGGACAGCGGCGGACCCAGCCGGCACAGTACGCAGACCGCACGACAGCACACAGACCGGGGACAGGCGACTGCAATGTCTGCAAAAGCCGCGTTAGCGTCAATCGCACGCGTTCGTCGGCCGCGGGTCGTACTCGGTCAAACATCATACAGCACAGCAACCACGATAAACAGCCCCTGCAATCCAATGCTAGCCAGTCATGTCATGCTTTCTTCGGCCATGCGGTCTGATGAGCTAACTCCGAATCCACGTCTCAGCGTACACATCCACGCCAAATATACCGGGGCGAGAGGAAGCTCAGAACAGTCACGCGCCAGTTTCGCCCAATTTCTCCCGAACGGAGGCGCCCACGCGTCCTTGAGACCAGCGGAGGCGCGCCACCAATGACCTTGGCCCGGTTACGATATGGCGCGCCATACACAAGCGGAGCGGAGGCGCTCTCGCCTGCGCAGATCCCCGTCGAGGTCGCGCTGTTTCTGCGCCAGATCACGGAGAGGTACGGGCCACCGGGCTGGCCGCTCGCGCCGGGACACACGCGGCTCGCAGGCCCTACCGCGGGACGGCGGACGCGCCGGCGGCGGCGCGGCGAGCCGGTGGCAGGCCTACACTGACAAGCACTGCCAGCCAGCGCTCCACCGGGCGCCCTGCTGGTGGTATCAGATTCTCGCAGGCGGCAGCCTCTGGTCGTCGCGTTTTGAGCACAACCGTCCGAGGCTGGGACCGCTCGCATGGGGCCTTGACGGTAAACCGCAGGAGCCTGTCCCGGTTTTGGAAAACGTGGACGAATATCGGGCAGCAGTCCGAGGCCGCAGCGGTCTCCCGCGCACCCGAGTCCGGCCGTAGCCTCCACCGAGGCCACATTTGTCCCCGCTGACCCGGCCCAGCCGTAGCCTCCACCCATGACAAGACAAAGGATTCCATTACGTTCTTCCATGACTTAGCTGTCTCCTGTCCGATTTCGAGTGACTTACCAAAATCGGGGCAAGCTTTACTGCGTTAACGGTTCAAATCCACTGCGATAGGGTTAAATTTCAACGACTGTCCCCGCAAATCGACAGCACAAGCGGTTGCCGCCATAGCCAGCCTGCAGCATCACTCATCCACAAAACCCGACGCCATTTATCCGCGCACGGATGCGTTACAGTGTCAAAAATAGCACATATGGATACCTAAATACGCATGCTTCTCCCGCATAAACATCTTTAACAATGTGATCTCACCGCGCGACATCGCGATTCGCCTAGTGTAATACAGCAATGGGTAGGCCTATCAATAGTAATGTGTGCCCAGAAAGGTCGTGGCCTCAGGAACTCCCGGCAGACTCCGCGTGGTGCCGAGCCAGCGCCGGGGTGTCCACGCCGGGCTGAAAAGCCGGCAGCGCACGTGCGGACCTCCTACCAGCCCCCAGTCCTCACCGCTGGCAGGCCCTTCCCTCATCACTCCCGGCGGTCCTCCTCGAGCCACATCTCTCTGTTGCCGAGACGCCGCGTGAGTCCACACCGAGTCTGTGCCGGCTCCGGGTGCCCTCGGCCGTTCCGGGCCGCCGCCGTCGCCGCCGGCCGTCACACGCCCGCCGTGCTGCGTCAGTCCTCCTCGTAGTCCTCGACGAGGCCGTAGCTCCGCCGGTGCGTGCGGCCGCGCGGCAGGATGGCGTCCGACTCGGCGCCGGCGGCTCCAGTGGCGTGGCGCGCGCCTCCCGGCCACAGGCTGGCCAGCAGCCGGCGCCCGAACGACGGGTGGTTCAGCGCCTCCGGCTGACTGAAGTCGAAGTCGGCGATCTCCAGGTTGTAGCTGCCGGGCGAGCAGCGAGCTGACACGGCGCCGCGTGATGTCACAAGGAAAGGGGTGGCAGCAGGGGGTAACACAGACGCTTCAAACGTCTAAACTTTGGGAGAAAAAAACTAAAAACCAAGATGTTGCTGTATGGCAAAACTTGAATGAGCACACGTTATTGCCACGCTTCTTTTTGAGCGTCCCTTCATTACTGCGGGCTTGAAATGAATTCCCACCAAGCACTCTCAAAAGAAAACGCCGGTCAGATCTCACGCGTTGCGAATAACTCATAACTCACGACATACAGAACAATGAAGACTTCCTACCTAAATCATGACTCGCCGTACACAGAACAATGAGGACTTCCTACACAAATCATAACTCGTCGCACACAGAACAATGAAGACTTCCTACACAAATCATGACTCGCGGCACGCAGAACAATGAGGACTTCCTACACAAATCATGACTCGCCGCACACAGAACAATGAGGACTTCCTACACAAACCATGACTCGTCGCACACAGAACAATGAGGTCTTCCTACAAAAATCATGACTCGCCGCACACAGACCAATGAGGGCGTTCTCTCAACAGGATCTAACGGAAATGCATAAGCTGACCCGCCAGTTATGTGAAAATACCCCGACACGACTGCCCCACAGCTGGGGGCCCAGAGTGAGCCGTCAAACACGCTGCACAGTCGGTGAAGTGGCGGCTCCCGACTGATCAGCCGGCACTGTCCCGTGCTACGAAGCTTTAAAAGACGCGGCATGACAATCTGTGGCCGCCCGAGAGTTGACATTTTCATTGTCTGCGCACTACAGCTCCTTCATAGAACAGGGCAAGGCCGGGAACCACACCGCGACAGTGGCTCACGTACCCAGAAATCGGCTCAGCAGCAAATCATCCGCGCGCTTCTCCCCCTGTCACAGACCCCACACACCACCGCCGGGTCCCTACTCACTCACTCCCCCTGTCACAGACCCCACACATCCCCGCCGGATCCTCCCTCCCCCTGTCACAGACCCCACACATCACCGCCGGGTCCCTACTCACTCCCACCCCCTGTCACAGACCCCACACATCACCGCCGGGTCCTCCCTCCCCCTGTCACAGACCCCACGCATCACCGCCGGGTCCCTACTCACTCACTCCCCCTGTCACAGACCCCACACATCCCCGCCGGATCCTCCCTCCCCCTGTCACAGACCCCACACATCACCGCCGGGTCTCTACTCACTCACTCCCCCTGTCACAGACCCCACACATCACCGCCGGGTCCTACCCACTCCCTCCTCCTGTCACAGACCCCACACATCACCGCCGCGTCTGTACTCGCTCCCTCCCCCTGTCACAGACCCCACACATCACCGCCGGGTCCCTACTCACTCCCTCCCCCTGTCACAGACCCCACACATCGCCGCCGGGTCTGTACTCACTCCCTCCCCCTGTCACAGACCCCACACATCACCGCCGGGTCCCTACTCACTCCCTCCCCCCGTCACAGGCCCCACACATCACCGCCGGGTCCTACCCACTCCCTCCCCCTGTCACAGACCCCACACATCCCCGCCGGGTCCCTACTCACTCCCTCCCCCTGTCACAGACCCCACACATCACCGCCGGGTCCTCCCTCCCCCTGTCACAGACCCCACACATCACCGCCGGGTCTGTACTCACTCTCGCCGTGACCGAATCAGTTTGATGGAGCCGAACAGGATGAAGACAAGTGCGGCCAGCGCGCAGCTCAGCGGGATGATGTAGTACGACAGCTGCGACTGGCGCGCCGCTGCGGCGACAAACACGCCGCGGCACATCAGACTGTCATACAGACTGTCACCACACAGCGTTAGACCATCATACAGACCGTCACCACACGGCGTTAGACCATCATACAGACCGTCACCACACGGCGTTAGACCATCATACAGACTGTCGCCACACGGCGTTAGACCATCATACAGACCGTCACCACACGGCGTTAGACCATCATACAGACTGTCGCCACACGGCGTTAGACCATCATACAGACCGTCACCACACGGCGTTAGACCATCATACAGACTGTCGCCACACGGCGTTAGACCATCATACAGACCGTCACCACACGGCGTTAGGCCATCATACAGACTGTCGCCGCACGGCGTTAGACCATCATACAGACTGCCACCACACAGCGTTAGATCATCATACAGACTGCCACTACATGGCGTTAGACCATCATATAGACCGTCATACAGACTGTCACCACATGGCGTTAAACCATCACACGGACTGCCACCACAAGGCGTTAGACCATCATACAGACTGTTACCACACAGCGTTAGACCATCATACAGACTGTCACTACACTGCTGGGCGTCGCCAAGTCTGACGCGGCACGTCAGACTGATACAGACTACCGTCACCAAGTCTCTGCGGCCCATGACTACAGTGGTCAGCAGGCCACCTGTCGTCCCATGCTTAAGCACGTGCAAGACCATTATTAGCTCTTCTTAGCGGACAACCGACACGGCGTAAGACGAAGCCCATGCAGAAAATCAACACCGGGGAGCCGGGTCAACAGTCTGACGCGCACGAACCACTTTATTGTTGACCTGTCACTCGTCGCCATCACCATCAACGCATTCGTCAATCATAATGGTAACGCCGACAATCAACGTGTACGCTTGCTACCAATACACCTATGATCGATATAGCCGCCGGCTCGCCTCACAGGGATCTCAAGCCAGCGCCGATGGCGGCCGGCGGCGTGATGACGGGGCGGTGGGCGGCGCCACAGAGGAGCGGTCGGCGACGCCACAGAGGGGCGGTCGGCGGCGCCACAGAGGAGCGGTCGGCGACGCCACACAGGGGCGGTCGGCGGCGCCACAGAGGGGCGGTCGGCGGTGCCACAGAGGGGCGGTCACCGGCGTTAGGCGGGGCTGTCGGCGGCGCCACAGAGGGGCGGTCGGCGGCGCCACAGAGGAGCGGTCGGCGGCGCCACAGAGGAGCGGTCGGCGGTGCCACAGAGGGGCGGTCACCGGCGTTAGGCGGGGCTGTCGGCGGCGCCACAGAGGGGCGGTCGGTGGCGTTAGGCGGGGCTGTCGGCGGCGCCACAGAGGGGCGGTCGGTGGCGTTGGGCGGGGCTGTCGGCGGCGCCACAGAGGAGCGGTCGGCGGCGTTAGGAGGGGCGGTCGGCGGCGCCGCAGGGGAGCGGTCGGCGGTGCTAGGCGAGGCTGTCGGCGGCGCCGCAGAGGAGCGGTCGGCGGTGCTAGGCGAGGCTGTCGGCGGCGCCGCAGAGGGGTGGTCGGCGGCGTTAGGCGGGGCTGTCGGCGGCGCCACAGAGGAGCGGTCGGCGGCGCCACAGAGGAGCGGTCGGCGGTGCCACAGAGGGGCGGTCACCGGCGTTAGGCGGGGCTGTCGGCGGCGCCACAGAGGGGCGGTCGGTGGCGTTAGGCGGGGCTGTCGGCGGCGCCACAGAGGGGCGGTCGGTGGCGTTGGGCGGGGCTGTCGGCGGCGCCACAGAGGAGCGGTCGGCGGCGTTAGGAGGGGCGGTCGGCGGCGCCGCAGGGGAGCGGTCGGCGGTGCTAGGCGAGGCTGTCGGCGGCACCACAGAGGAGCGGTCGGCGGCGTTAGGCGGGACTGTCGGCGGCGCCGCAGAGGAGCGGTCGGCGGTGCTAGGCGAGGCTGTCGGCGGCGCCACAGAGGGGTGGTCGGCGGCGTTAGGCGGGGCTGTCGGCGGCGCCACAGAGGGGCGGTCGGCGGCGTTAGGCGGGGCTGTCGGCGGCGCCACAGAGGGGCGGTCGGCGGCGCCGTCCGTACCCGTGTAGACGGTGATGGCGACAGGCGTCACCCGCCGGCTGACGGCGTTTGAGAGCACGCTGACGGCCGTGTAGGTGCCGTTGTCCCGCAGGTAGCGCACGATGCCGACGCTACACTCGGCCGTGACGCTCGGGTACGGGCACGTCTCGTTCCCTGCCGGCAGTGGGGCGACGCTGCCACCGACCGGGCCTCCAGCCGCTCACACAACAGAGTAGGCGCGTCGGTGACAGCCGCTGGGAAGACGGCTGACCGCGCAGTAGGCTTTACAATCGTTTGAATGTTCCGTGAGGCTGTGCAAGAGACACTAGAACGTTCGAATATTTAACTATAAGTTCCAACTTTCAGATAACATGATCAGATAACTTCCGACAAACGATAACCAATGATAATTAACTTTTCCATAGATAATACATTCAAGTAAATAGCAAAATAAAATTCGCCTGTACGCCTCCTCTGCCCCTGACGGCTCTCCAGCCCTTGGCGCTTGACGCTCGATCCTCCCTTGACGCGTCCCCTGCTGTTCCTCCAGGACCTCCCCAGCCCTCCGGCGTTCCCAGTCCTCCCGAAAACTCCCCAGTCCAGACCTGCCCCTCTGACGCCACCCCGCCCGGCTGTCACCTGCTCCTCTGACGCCACCCCGCCCGGCTCTCACCTGCTCCTCTGACGCCACCCCGTCAGGCTCTCACCTGCTCCTCTGACGCCACCCCGCCCGGCTCTCACCTGCTCCTCTGACGCCACCCCGTCAGGCTCTCACCTGCTCCTCTGACGCCACCCCGCCCGGCTCTCACCTGCTCCTCTGACGCCACCCCGCCCGGCTCTCACCTGCTCCTCTGACGCCACCCCCGCCCGGCTCTCACCTGCTCCTCTGACGCCACCCCGCCCGGCTCTCACCTGCTCCTCTGACGCCACCCCGTCAGGCTCTCACCTGCTCCTCTGACGCCACCCCGCCCGGCTCTCACCTGCTCCTCTGACGCCACCCCGCCCGGCTCTCACCTGCTCCTCTGACGCCACCCCGCCCGGCTGTCACCTGTCCCTCTGACGCCACCCCGTCCGGCTCTCACCTGCTCCTTTGACGCCACCCCACCCGGCTCTCACCTGCTCCTCTGACGCCACCCCGCCCGGCTCTCACCTGCTCCTCTGACGCCACCCCGTCAGGCTCTCACCTGCTCCTCTGACGCCACCCCGCCCGGCTCTCACCTGCTCCTCTGCCGCCACCGGCGCCCGGCTCTCACCAGTGACGTTGTAGCGGCCGCTGTAGACGTTGACGCAGTAGTTCCAGGGCCCGGTGCCGTTGCAGTGAACAGTCAGGTTGAGCAGCTCGCCGTGCTTCAGCCAGTTGTTGCCCGACACATTCACCACCGTGATCGGCGCTACGGAGCCGTGCACAGCCGTCACACGCAGGTCAGACCGCAGGCAGGCGCCGGACAACACCACAGTCGGGTCCAGGTCTCTGAGTGCGGTTACAATGTTCCCCTGATAGCAAAAAACCATCCAGAATTCAGATGACAGAAGCAATGCCACTTCAGGTGTCGGCCCTAGTTAACTTTTTGTTAGACAATCAACCCATGCACCGCTGTAACTGGGTGTATTTCCGGATATCTAACACAAAAATACCCGCATTATACATAACATCTGTACTTAACATCACATGCGAGGTACCAACGAGCTCTTAAAATCCTTGAAAAAGAATCGGGGCGGGGCAGACCCGAAAAACTTTGATCAGAGTAAACAATCAATCACAACAAACAGTCACGGACCGGCGATACCTAACATCAACCATGATACTCGCAGGCGAAAGTATGTGATGGCTGAAGATTCCGTATGTCAGTGCTCTCCTGTGACAAAATCACCCATGGTGGTAGCAACAGTTTTCACGAGTGTAGACCGAACGATCATATGACGTCCTAGCAGCAATAGCTCACTGACTTAGCAACAATCAGCAGCTGACTAGCTACGCACTTAAGAACGGTTTAACCGCTTGGCAAACGCAAAAACGGTCCAGCCATTTCTATCCTAAATAGTCATGCTCTGAGGACAGTATACAAATCCGTCATATCCATGATGTGGCACGACACTATGTCAAGTACCGGTAGCCATGCCCCGGCTCTCGCCAGCCCGCCGAAGCCCACTGACCGTCCACGAGGAAGCTGAGTGAGAACAGGCCCCACTTGCTCGAGTCGCTGCCGGTGCCGGCCGTCACGTTCTTGTCGAAGTGCGCCACGGCGATGCAACGCGCGAAGTTCGAGCCCAGCTTGGTGAAGTTGTAGCTGGAGTCGACGGCGCCGGTCAGAGGGGATAGGACGACCACCAGGACAGAAGGGGTGGAGCCGGTACCGGGCGGCGACGGTCGGGGGGGGGGGGGGGGGGCGGGGGAGACGACCAACAGGATACCAGAGGTGGGGCCGGTACTGGGCGACGACAGTCGGATGGGGGGGGGGGAGGCGACAAACAGGACAGCAGGGGTGGAGCCGGCACTGGGCAGCGACGGTCGGGGAGGGGGGGGGGGGGACCACCAGGACAGCAGAGGTGAAGCCGGCACTGGGCAGCAACGGTCGGGGAGGGGGGGGGACCACCAAGACAACAGAGGTGGAGCCGGCACCGGGCGGCGACATTCGGGGAGGGGGAGGGGGCCACCAGGACAGCAGAGGTGGAGCCGGCACTGGGCAGCAACGGTCGGGGAGGGGGGGGGGGGAGACCACCAAGACAACAGAGGTGGAGCCGGCACCGGGCGGCGACATTCGGGGAGGGGGAGGGGGCCACCACCAGGGCAGCAGAGGTGGAGCCGGCACCGGGCGGCGACATTCGGGGAGGGGGAGGGGGCCACCACCAGGGCAGCAGAGGTGGAGCTGGCACGGGGCGGCGACGGTCGGCGACGGCTCAACCGCACAGGGGAAACCACGATGCTGATACGAGGAGAGCGAATGACGACAGCCAAAACGAACCATGGTCACACAGGACGAATCGCACCAGAAGTTAAATAGCGAAACGCTTGCGAATAAAAAAAGGCGAACACGCTAGAGTACACGGAAATTAAGCGTGGCGGCCATCTTGAAAAATAGTGCATATCATGAGATGACGGCCAGAACAACGATCGGATTACAGAGTGGACTCGCCGCCTTCCAGCGCCGCCCGGTCAACTGGCCAGTGACGTCACTCGACGCCGGGCACACGCACAAGCGTCCAGTCCACAGCGCCACGCGCCCGATAAACAAGGGACCAGCCGGTGCCGGCGGGCGCCCGGTCAGCAGCGGGCCGGCCAGGCGCGGCCGTGACCCGGGCCCGACGCCTCCGCGGCTGCAGGGGCCCACACCATCCTGTCCGCCTGACCTCGGCCTGGACGGCGAGCAGCCCAGCCAGAGCTGGTTACGCTCCGGTCAGGGACGGGGTCAGCTCAGCTCGGCAGGGGATGGCGAGTGGCGTCTGACCAGCGCCAGGCTAGGAAACGACTCCTGCCAGAGCTGGTCACGCTCCGGTCAGGGACGGGGTCAGCTCAGCTCGGCAGGGATGACGAGTGGCGGTCTGACCAACGCCACGCTAGGAAACGACTCCAGCCAGAGCTGGTCACGCTCCGGTCAGGGACAGGGTCAGCTCAGCTCGGCAGGGATGACGAGTGGCGGTCTGACCAACGCCACGCTAGGAAACGACTCCTGCCAGAGCTGGTCACGCTCCGGTCAGGGACAGGGTCAGCTCAGCTCGGCAGGGATGACGAGTGTCGGTCTGACCAGCGCCAGGCCGGGAAGCGACTCCTGTCGGGACCTTGACCTCACATGTCCTGTCCACGCTCTGTCCATGTCACATGTCTTACCCTGCCCTTGTCAGCTCGGTTGAACGAGCGCCGAGCTCCACGGGCCCCGTGTCGATTCCCGGTAATTCCAATGACGGACCTTGGACTGTGATGCATGCATGACTGATAGCCCAACCGCATCCAGCCCTTAGGCTAAGGACTCAACAACAGCTGACGGCGGCCAGAGAGCTGGCTGGCCAATGCTGTGCACGTCGTAACAGACCAGACGACGACGACCGTTTGGCCGATCATCCCATCGGTGTTACCCATATCTTGTCTCAATCTTTCCGCAAAACTAGAAAATGCGCTTCAAATATTTTAATCGCTAGTCGATGCGAGCAACTCTTACCGCGTTTCAGCACGCGAGAGCGCAGGCGGGGCGTACAGTGCGCGGGGCAGAGTGCGCCTCAGTACATTACATCAGCGGCATCAATGGTGTAACATGCTGCGCTGACATGTGAAGCCTCATCAAGCGTATCAAACGTAAACGCTGACACGTGTCAACAATTTAATACAGGACGGCACAGAGCCTTTGAAAAACCGATCACCTTCGCTCGCGTCAGGCGTATGCGGGATTTTTGACAAGATAGTGGCTGCCCTGCCGCGTTGATGTGGTTTCTGGAGCAATCGGATCTTTATAAAGCACGCAGCACGTAGATAAGACACTAGTATTAGTCTTATTCCTCGGAAAAAAAAAACAGGAGAATGTAGATATAGTTGGGTGGATATTTCGGCAACATGCCTTTCTGGAAACAATAGCGAAAGTGCACTTCTGCTATTGTTTCGAGAGGCATGTTGCCCAAATATTAACCCAACTATATCTACACTCTCCTGTTTTTTCCGAGGAATACAGCTAATACTGCTGCCTTATCTATGTGAATAATGTTCCTCGCTAATGCAATGAACAAGTTACGTAATACGTAGCACGGGTTTAGAAATTTCGTTGCAGGGCTGGATATTGCGGCCATCCTAGACACGGCTATCAGAGAAGCTTTTAAGCAAAAAGATGTTTTCACCTTGTCCGACGTCAAAAATGTCTTTGACATAATTCAGCGTGGCGGCGTTCTGACAAAACTTCATAAATTTGGCGTGCGCCGACATTTGAACATCTGCCTCGATTGCTCCACTTAAAGGCTACTGCTCACGTGCTCACCTAGACATTAACATAAATGGTGTCCTACAGAGACGCATTGTAAGCGAGGACTTGCTCGCCATAACGGCGTGCGCCATCGGACACACGCTGCCTGCTCACGTGGGACGTTTTCTGTTTATTTTCTGTTTTCTGTTCTGTCTGTTGAGTTTACGATCTGGGTGGTCACTATTGCTACGTCAGCGTCAGGGAGTCGCCACAGACTAAACGCTGTCTAGATAACACTGTTCAGTGAAGCACATCATACAGTTGTATATTGTCAGTAACTCAAACCATACCCCAGCTTTATATGAAGTTGAGCCCTGGCTGTATTTCACTCCTTGAGTCCTGGTGGTACCTGGGTGCTAACCGTACCTGAGGAGGGCAGTAACGCCAGCTTCATTGTCCACTGAGCTCGAGATCGGGGAAGGATCCTGGCTTGCACCCGTCCCTGACGTCTGGCGCTTTTGAAGCACGCCTGGCGCTCGGATAGACACACCTGAGGTCGGGTGGACGCACCTGAGGTCGGGGTGGACGCACATGAGGCCGGGGTGGATACACCTGGGGTCGGGGTGGACGCACCTGAGGTCGGGGTGGACGCACCTGAGGCCGGAGTGGACGCACCTGAGGTCGGGGTGGACGCACCTGAGGCCGGAGTGGACGCACCTGAGGTCGGGGTGGACGCACCTGAGGCCGGAGTGGACGCACCTGAGGTCGGGGTGGACGCACATGAGGCCGGAGTGGACGCACCTGAGGTCGGGGTGGACGCACCTGAGGTCGGGGTGGACGCACCTGAGGTCGGGGTGGACGCACCCGAGGTCGGGTGGACGCACCTGAGGTCGGGGTGGACGAACGGCCCCAGGTTTCGGCGGTCGTTGACGGACCAGAAGTACTCGATCTTGCTGGCCGAGTCGAGGAAGTGGTGCGGGTCACGGAAGCGTACCGTCAGGCGCGTCTCGTTGGCGGTGCTGACGTGGCCCGGCTCGCGCTGCGACACGCCCGGCTGCGACAGCTCGATGTGGCCGTTCAGGTTCACTGACGGCGGCCGGCAGACGCCGCGTCAGCCAACGTCAGCCGGCAAGCGTGGGACGTCAGTGACGTGACAACACAAGGTCACCGCGTGACGATACGTGACGCTGATGTCACCGAGGCTGCACGGATCGCGTGGCGATGCGGCGCGACGGTCGCTGCATCATGTGGCAGCAGGCAACACGCGAGGAACGCCATCAGATGTGATGTGACCCATGCGTGACCATCATTTGCCACATGTTTTGATCACGTGATCAAAGCAGAGCGTCACGCCTCATGGCCATCGACCAATGGGTTACAAGCATGGCCATATAGTTGCGAGACTGAAAATGTCATGTTAAATCTGGAATCCTGTTCAAAATCACACAGCCACATGAAGCACGCGCTTTACTTATTTGCGTTCTTCTGCTCTTCCGCTCTTAGACACTCCCCGCTGTTCGCTGTATCTCCATCAGTTCAGTCAGCACCATACCACATAACCAGCAACATCACCTGGCAAGTAAGCCCCTCCCCACAATAACGATGGCTCCACAAGAAGACGCAAACATGCGAACTGGTAATCAGGCACGTAAGGATCTTGTGCGAACATCGCCGACTGTCAGCCCGCAAGCACCAAGTGAGTTGAACATCCGTGTCGTCTGGAGCCCTACCCGACCCGTGATAACCCGAGTCTGACCCCACCTGTGGCGACCCCGACCCCGGCCGACCAGCACCGGCAGTGTCGTCTGGAGCCCTCCCCGACCCGTGATAACCCGAGTCTGACCCCACCTGTGGCGACCCCGACCCCGGCCGACCAGCACCGGCAGTGTCGTCTGGAGCCCTCCCCGACCCGTGATAACCCGAGTCTGACCCCACCTGTGGCGACCCCGACCCCGGCCGACCGGCGCCGGCAGTGCCACCCGGGGCGTTTCCCGACCCGTGATAACCCGAGTCTGGCCCCACCTGTGACGACCCCGACCCCGGCCGACCGGCGCCGGCAGTGTCGTCTGGAGCCCTCCCCGACCCGTGATAACCCGAGTATGACCCCACCTGTGGCGACCCCGACCCCGGCCGTGCCGCCTTGCAGCGGCGCCGGCGGTGACCCGGACCGCACCTGTGATGCTGTACAGGGTGGACTGCTCGCCGATGACGCTGTCGGGCAGGATGGTGCGCGGCTCCTTCACCGTCACCGTCATCGTGTAGTAGCCGAACAGGTCGTTGACGTTGAACACCACCAGCATGGTGGCCTGCAGTGACGACGTCGGCTCCGACTGTCGGGTGTAAGGTGCCAGGTCATATGGCAGGTCGGGTGTCAGATCACGTGTCAGATGCCTGGTGTCAGGTATCAGTTCGGGAATCAGAACGTATGTCAGGTGTCAGGTCGGGTGTCACATTGAGCTGGCTTCGGTCAAGCACCAAAAACCGTCAGTTGAGGCGAGGTGTCAGTTCGGCTAAGGTCAAGGGTGAAGCCCGGCGTCCGGCCCCGTCACGGTGGGCGTCAGGCCTGGGCCGCTCCGGGGGACGGGCCGCGCGGGGAACGTCAGACCTGGGCCACTCCGGGGCAGGCCGCACGAGAACGCGTACGCTGGAGGACGCCCAGCACCCAGATGCAATAATAACGTCCATTCTCAATCCCAGGTGTGTTCAACAGCATTGTAGAACACTTGTGCTTCTATTCGAGCCTTCGGCCACTTTTTACAGTCAAGCACAATGCTTTTTATCAATGCAACTATCCAACAGCCTGGAGCCTGACAGAACTATTCCTCTACCGTGTGCGCAGTGTGTTTGTCAGCAAGTCAAAAGGACCAGTCGTGCTAGTGTGGCACGATGCTGCCTTGCTGCACTTGTAACGCAGGTTCTGTACTCAGCACGATGTACCGTTGAGACGAGAGCATCACCTCGTCTGCAGTGTAGAGGTACTGCACACCGCACGTGCAGTCAAGGTGAGATCCGCAACTTGTGTTTGTGTCTGAGCCAGTCCGTGTTTGTGTTTGAGTCAGCCTGTGTCTGTGTCTGAGGCAGTCTGCGTCTGCGTCTCAGTCAGTCTGTGACTGTGTCTGAGCCAGTCTGCATCTGTGTCTGAGCTAGTCTGTGTCTGCACCTGAATCAGTATCTGTCTGCAACTGAGCCAGTCTGTGTCTGTGTCTGGGCCAGTCTGCATGTCTGTGTCTCAGTGTCTGTCGTGTCTGAGCCACACCCCGTTACAGTGCAGAGGTGTCACACACCGCACCCTGTCACGCGGGCGCCGGACGTACCTTGTTGTAGTGCTGGGGAGACGCGTTGTCGGCCCACTCGTATATGAGCTCGCTGGGGCGGTCTTCATCACCGTCCAGCTCGACACGGGCCGTGAACATGATGGGCGCCCCCACCACCGCCGGGCCATCGTTGTCCAGGTACACACGCGCGCCACCTGGCAGGAGCAGGAGCGTCAGCCAGAAGCACCGGCTCTCCACCACGGACAGCGTGGAGGCCCACACAGCCGCAGCATGTACACCCCTCCTAAGGAAACTTGGAAATGCTGGAAAAGCCTTATAAAATGAGCATCTTTGACATATCATCTGATGTAAGTCATGTTGCCAGCAATGATGTTATTACTGACCAATGAATATCAGTTTTCTCCAATGAACAGAGAATGTGCAACATTTTAACACAAAATGACCAGCATAATCACATGCAAATATACCCTTACAAGCTGATGATTCCCTGGCATTACAAATTAATGTATGTGATCTACACAATACTGAGATTGTTCCATGCTAATCACCCCTAATGTCATACACAGACTCACCAATGATAGGAAGAAACACCAAAACTACACTGAACCACATGACTGATGTCTCAAGTGGTGCATCAGTTACTTGCTTGCACTCATTTTCTTGGTGCTGAATGGCTGTAAAAAATATCCTGTTCTTTACACAATTATGCACCAAATGTTCACATGCTGTGATTGGCAGGGGTATGGCAAAAGCAAAACAGCTCAGTGGTGGATGATGAGTCATCACACTGATTGCCTTGATGCTGCATGCCCTTAAATGTCATAACACCACCAGCCAACCAAATATTTTTATCCTTTTGTCTGGAGCTGTATATGGTACTATAAGAAAACAATGCAGTCTCACTGTGGTCTTCAGATCCCAGGCATCCCCTTAGCTGCACTTATGAGGACATATTACACCTTTTTAATGGGCAAGGACATGATTTTATCTATATGATATCACTAGGTGACCATATTATGAGCAGCAAAAACTAAGACATAAAACATGACTCAAATAATCATCCACATCATGAGAGCTAGATCGCACCACAGCTGAACTGGCTTGCATAATAAAACCCTGTGTGTGTGACATTTAAAAGCAGAAAAAGTGTATATGATAACAGGTAGCAGGTGGTGACAAAACCCTGTTAACATGTACATCAAAATATTTTTCAATGGTTTTGATCACATTGCTTGTACCAATATAATGGTCAAAATACCAATAAACACCCTGAAGCTACCACATCTCTACCAAAGTGACAGCAAATGCATGGGATTTAAATGCCATGCAAAATATGGAGTACCCAATAAACTGTGCATGTGATATAACATTAAGATATACAGCACACAACACTTCCTAACATGCATAAATACTTTGATACTTACAAATATCATGCTTTCAAGTATGGGACTGAGTAAGTGCTAGTACAACTGACAGGAAATAAGTCACAATTCTTAACAGTTTGGTGAATATTAGTCCACAAGCCCTCTCTTCCCCTATGGATGGCATGTACCTGGCCACTATGCATGTGGAAATGCACCAATTTTAAACATAAATTTAAAGTTAAAGTTAACATGGCATCTTTCACAATCATCTGATAATCACTTAACATGGTTTATTCCCATCCCTAGGACACAATGCTGGTTCACATTCAGAACACTGAGTGGGCAGACATCAGCATACTGTAATGCAATACACATGCATGACAGCCCACTGTATCAATGCTGGCCATCCTGCACCAGAGGTTTCACTAGCTACTACAAAACTCAAAGGAAGTCACAGCTTGGAGGCTAGAAAGAACTAGGGGCACTTTACATACCATCACATGAATGCTGCTTATCTCTTTTGATCCTACATAGAGAAGCCACCACAGAATATTGTAGGTCATGGACATGCAAGATGTAAGAACTTGATGACTGTTGAAAAGCAATTGTGATTGTGTCTATGCCATTGCAGGCAAGCTAGAATATTAGAAACTTAATGTGACTGCTGTTCAATGATATCATTGACAGGAAGGTTAACATACAAATTGTATGACAGTACACAAATGGATGCCATACTAGACTCTCATCACTCATTCAGGCATGAAAATGCAGTACCATAACTGTTGCAACAGTCAGTTGTCCTTAGACAACCTCATCATAGCCCAGGGAGCAAAACAAGACAGATATGAACAAGATTTTGTTAGGGAATATCCGCAATAAGAAATACAATGTGGGGTAGCTTCTTCAAACTTTTGAACACAAAGCCCTAGCACACAGAGCCCATACTAACATGAGGCCAGTATACAAAACATCCATCCACTGTACCTGGTATTGCCCTGAATTTTGAAACTATTGTAGGCTGGCAAAATATGATTAAGCACCTTTCTTTTATAATAATATTCTACTTTCTAGATGCATCAAGTTCTCAATGCACTGAAGTTATACGCAATTCCATGTGCCAAACGTAGGGCACTTTCGTTTATGGCATCAGTGTGCTAAAATTGCTGCCACAGCATTGCTGCTATGTCAAACAGCTACCTGCCACAAATGGTAAGATTCCACCCCAAGTGGGCAAAAATTTCAGTTGGCACAAATTTATCCCGAAATTACTAGCCATGGAATACAGATAAATTCATAATACGGCTAAGCTACATATTTGAGCATTTCTGATCACCATGTAATATAGAAGCTTTAATCTGGCGTGCTGACCGATAAAGATCTCAATAAACGCAAACTAAACAAACCATGTCTATGCAAAACAAAAATGTCAACATTTACACCAAGCCCTCCAGGGTCAGCAAAGTACCTTGGTACGGTTGAAAACGTGATCCAACGCAACCAGAATGCAGCAACAACCAGAAATAGTCACAAAGAAGTCCAGAGCAGGGCGATGTATTGTCAATATGTTTGTCCCAGAATCGTCATGACCGTCGACAGGTCAGAACTTTCATTACCAGATACTTTTTAGCCAAGCCTTCGGCAAGAGCAGAACCAGTAGGTGTTTTGAGTGTCTTATACAAGCTAAAGGCATTGACCTATACATGGGTCAATGGTTAAAGGACGTTGGTGCCGCACTCACGATTTTTCTAAGAAAGAGTGGTGTCTTTTCTTTCCTCGGCATTGAAGATATATAAAGCATATTTAGGTCTGCTCTCTTGACTTTAAGACACTCCCGATTACATCAATGGAATGTTGATAAGCAAATGAAATGAGAAGAATTCGTAAATTGTTAAATCATTCGAGAATCGCAATCATCCCTGCATAATGATAAAGTATCATTCAAAAAACTCACAAAACCCGCCTGGAGCACGTCAGTATTCCGCCAAACCTTCCACTCGGTTACGCTAATTTAGCCAAGGAAACGTAACTGGCAATAGGCATTACACCTAACTCTGGAACCGTAAATTGCTTGCCACTAGCAGAGAACGTCGGTCGCCGTCAGTCGCGAACAGGCCTCCAGCTCGCGGACGGTGGGGGTCGAGGAGTTGTGCGCGCTGGAACTAAGTGCTGACCGTGATGGACGTGATTCAGTAACCGCGCTTTTGCTAACCAAGCGTTATCGCGAACGCCTTTTGTATTCCCTCAGTGAGCACCCGTTCGCTTGCTGGCCGTTGCACGTTATTGCACGAGTGTATGGCGGCAAGTGATCTTTGGAGTGACTTGTACTCTGTGATGCGGCCTTCGTATCGTGTTCAGTGTTGGATTTCACGATACCTATCGCTGTAGTCAACAAGAGAGACGTGTACTTGTAAATGAAGAAGCCTTTTGTTGCTACCTCTTTTGTACTGGTGCAAGGGAAATATGTCTGATGAGAGGATGCAAGAGTGGATCAAGCTTAATGTGGGTGGGACGAGGTTCATGACCACTCGGACAACACTATGTCAAGATGAGAAGTCTTTTCTGTATAGACTTTGTCAAAGTGACATGGATCTGAACTCAGCCAAGGCAAGTTATGACAATACTTGTGATGTTTTGTTCATGCATACTGGACCTACTCATGTATGGGAGTTTGGTTCCTTCTAGTGTTAGAACTGTCATCCTTCATTGAAGTGGTTATTCATGCATGCAGTTCATCTCTGTGCTCATGTTCATCAAATTGCATAAATGGATGGTGGGCCCAGGGTTTATGTCACAAGCACAGAGGCTACACAGAGGCTATACTGTAATACCTCTGCTACACAGAGGCCATACTGTAGCATAGCCTCTGTGTTGCTTCTGTTCCCAGGAATCCATCAGTTTGAAGGGCACAGACACAATCTTTGAAAAAGGTGTTCAAGAGTCTGGTACTGATGCTACTAACCCTAAATTCCATCATTTTTCCTAATGTTATATCATTAGGTCTATTACAAGGCATGCAATCCTGTGGAGTTGCTCAGCTCAGCAAGGGGGGGGGGGGGGGTTATGGATCTGCCAAGGTCCCTGTGGCTATTACCCTGGTTTTCAGCAACAAGAAATGCTATCATGAAAGCACAGTGCTCATTAACTTACAGGTATTAAGTTACTAGCATGACAACTGTTTAATGAAAGCTAATCTTTGCTACACTGATGGAATGAAATCTGCCAATTTTGCCATCACCTATTAGAGATAATTTCTCAATCAACTTCTTATATTTACTTGTATGCTTTTTTGCTCCTGAAATGCAAACTTTGTAAATTGAAAATTTATTTGCAGCCCAAATACACAGGGCAAGTGAAAACCAGGCCTAGATGTGGACAAGTCAGTGTCTCAGTGGCTGAAAACCAACACATTCTGACTGAGAAGGAATGGACATTTATATTGGCAAAAGTGTTAGCTCTTGTATGTGGACATTCATTCCCATCAGGATAGGAATCAGGGTTTCATTCAAGATTTTTTAAAGGGTGATGTCAAATCTTGACAACTGGAGTAATGACAGTGTAAAACCAGCTGTGCCTTGTGTGCCAACAGACCACCTACAGATCAGCAGCTCCCCTAGAACTGTCCAGCTCACCATTCTTCCATAGGTCCCAGGACATGGCCAATGTGACAGCTTCAAAATGTCCAAAGCTGGTCAGGAATGCAGGCTCTTGTTGCCAAACTGAATGGATTTGGGGTGGAGGTCTCTGAATGCCTGCAGCCCAGTTTGTTGCAGTCAGTTTCCACTGAAGATATGACTACTGGTGTAATACTTTATTTGGTGCTCACCCTCCCTGCTTAGGTGAAAGGCAGGCAATGCTTTATAGCCTCAGCAGCTGAATGTGTTGTAAATCCCAATGGCATGGTTGGCTATCAGTAAAACTGTTAATCATGATAGCAATCTATTTCATTGGCTGAAGGTGTTGGCCTAGCTAAGCATATGTTATCACAATCTTGGGTCAGTACTATTTGTAAAACTAGAATATGCGAAGGCTATGTTGGGCACTCCCAGCTAGAGTGTGCGAAGGCTATGTTGGGCACTCCCAGCTAGAATGTGCGAAGGCTATGTTGGGCACTCCCAGCTAGAATGTGCGAAGGCTATGTTGGGCACTCCCAGCTAGAATGTGCGAAGGCTATGTTGGGCACTCCCAGCTAGAATGTGTGAAGGCTATGTTGGGCACTCCCAGCTTGATGAACTCTCATAGAAGGCAGGCTTTCCAGCTCACCAATCAGGCTGTTTGTTACTGGCTCACAAAATTCTCACTTTTTTTGGTTTTCAGCATAAGCACATGACATTGATAACTCTGACATTTGTACTCCTCTACTCCTGCTCTGGCCAAGGCCACCCTCAAACAGTTTAAGGAATTCCATTATTTGCTCCTCAGCTTGCTGTTTAGCTACCATTTCTGTATTGTTTACAACAGGTTTAGCCAGGACAGCCTCTTTGAAATGAACAACAAAATTTATGATGGCATCTGTGGAATACATGATGCTGCATCAACCTTGGTGGGTGTTGTTCATATGCCTGCTAGCGGCATGCGCCAGCGTACCTGACTCGCTGACCGGGGCCGACTGTCCGCCGCAGGACGAGCAGGGCGCCTACCTCATCGACCGTGACCCCGGCTACTTTGGCCCGGTGCTCAACTACCTACGACACGGCAAGCTGGTCATGGACAAGAACATGGCCGAGGAGGGCGTGCTCGAGGAGGCCGAGTTCTACAACATCACCGGACTCATTCGACTGGTGAAGGATCGCATCGCCAAGAGGTGAGGGGAGCAGGAGCGTGAACAGGACCTGACACTGTGCGGAGGGGGGGGGGGGGATCCATGATTGGGGAGCAGCTGGTATTGATCATTTGGCATTACTGGTCATGTCCCCTGCGCCGGATTGCCGTCTTGTGAGTGGTGGTCAGAAGATGGTACTTGGTTGGAGGTGGTGGAGCACAAACCATCATGTATGGCCCCTGTCTGGCCGGAAAGTGGGCCGTGTTGTCACGCGCGGGGGAGCTGTGTTGCTGAGGAAGGCCGAGCACGTGTTACTCACCGCTGTCTGTTGATCGGCCATATGATGATATGCGATAGGATGTGGATTGACCTCTGTCGTATTATCACAGTTCTGTGCTTATTTGTTGGACTTTCGGGCGCGTCGACTGCACGGACAGATAGCGCCAGTCACGCCCATCAGCTGCCAACTACATTTCTACCGCGTATGCCCGCCGTCCCCTGTTTTGCACATGACTGCCTTGTGTCAGCTATCCTCTGGGTGTAACCCTGTGCGCCCTACATGCGCGTGCCAGCAGTCACAGCGTCTCACATTCCAAGCCGTGCCTCGTGTGCCCCGATGGTGTGTGCCTGCCACGTCCACACCGACTGCGCCATCGCCCCCGTCCATCTCGGCGCTGACTCCGCCCCTGCGTGCGGCCGTCCGGCGCTGACCCGCCCCTGGGCGCCCACTCGGCAGGGAGGCGGGCGCCGTGGGCTCAGGCAAGCACGTGTACCGGGTGATGCAGTTCCACGAAGACGAGCTGACGTCGCTCATGTCCTCAATGAGCGACGGCTGGAAGTTTGAGCAGGTCAGTGCGGGGCGCCACACGGAGGGGCTGGCAGAGCGGGCGGTGGTCCGTCCCGTTCCACAGGCCGTGCTGCGCCAGAGGACACAGAGGAGCTGACAGAGCGGGCGGTGGCCGGTCCCCAGGCCGTGCTGCGCCAGAGAACACAGAGGAGCTGACAGAGCGGGCGGTGGCCGGTCCCCTTCCACAGGCCGTGCTGCGCCAGAGGACACAGAGGAGCTGGCTGAGTGGGCGGTGGCCGGTCCCCAGGCCGTGCTGCGCCAGAGGACACAGAGGAGCTGACAGAGCGGGCGGTGGCCGGTCCCCCTCCACAGGCCGTGCTGCGCCAGAGGACACGGAGGGGCTGACAGAGCCGGCGGTGGTCCGTCCCCCTCCACAGGCCGTGCTCTGTCTGCGCGCTCGTCGGCCTGCCAGCTCAGTCCCGCGGCTGATCTCTCGCTATGGCCGGGTGTCAGCCTATGGGGACTGGAGCGGACCCGGTACGCCCGGGGCGGCCGCGGACGTCACGCCTACTGCACACACATTCGATGTACATATTCGTCGCGAACACCTGCTTGTGCAACCCTGATTGGCTCAGCATCCGGCTGCAGCAGACCTGCAGCGGTCGGCGCAGTGTTGCGCCTGTGTTGTGTGAAGTGTGACGTGGGGGTAGCATGCCTCTGACCGGGCCCGGCAGGGCCGCTGTTCTGACTGGGCGCGGGAGGGCTGCTGTTCTGACTGGGCCCGGCAGGGCCGCTGTTCTGACTGGGCCCGGCAGGGCCGCTGTTCTGAACGGGCGCGGGAGGGCTGCTGTTCTGACCGGGCCCGGGAGGGCTGCTGTTCTGACCGAGCGCGGGAGGGCTGTTGTTCTGAACGGGTGCGGGAGGGCTGCTGCTCTGAGCTGTCAGTGACCACCGCCACTGTTGCCAGTTGATCAACGTGGGCAGCCAATACAACTACGGCAACAACGACCAGGCCGAGTTCCTATGCGTGGTGTCGCGCGAGTGCACCTCCTGTGACAACCACAGCAACCGGCGCGAGCCCTCCGACAAGGCCAAGGTGGGACGCCGCCAGCAGCGCTGACGCATGGCGAGCGCCCGTGCTGAATCGAACCCGAGATCCGCCCGTCACCAGTACTCATGCGGCCGTCACTTAACGCTGCAGCCTTCAAGCCGGTGCTGGTGCGGCCTTTGAAATAGCGTAGTGGCAGCGCCGGAACTGCACGCGTGGAGCCGCTTTGGGTGCACGTGCGCTGTGATTCCGTACGCGCGTTGCAGTATGATTGGTCTCCGTCGTGTGGCGCAGGCAGACGCAGCCAATCGTAGCAGTCAGCCGCCTCCCGCGGTGTCGCCGTCGCCTCACTACTTCCTACCGGTTCCAGATGCTGCTGCAGAAAGCCAGCCGGATGTGATCCGGCCGGTGCCTTAGTGACGTCACACCGGCGTCACGACGTCACGACGCGCGTGCGCGGACCAAGCGGCTGCCGTGGCCGGAGGGGAGCAAGCGCCGGACGTGGGCGCGCCTCGCCCCGGGCGCCGCCGGAGCCGCCGCCGGTGCACCGACCGGTGTCTGTTCGGACGCAGGCCGTCTAGAGGCTTGGCCGCCGCCGCGGTCGGCCCTGGCGCTGAAGCGGACCGCCGGGCGGACGCGGCCGTGGCGGGGGCGCCAGAGGCGTGACGTCACGGCGGCGTTCAGAGGCTTTCAGACGTGTGTTTTGTATCGAGCTTACCGCCGGCGGTCGGCGCGGCGCTTTGTACGTGAGTTTTGTAGGCGCGAGTTTTGCGCCGTGGTGAGCCGGCCCGGCCCGGCGGCTGCCCTGGGCCGATGACGGCCGGTCAGGTGACCCCCGGGAAGAGGGATGCGACGCCGGCCCGAGGCGGGACGGTCAGCTGAGCTGGCCTCGCCCGCTCCGGCCGGCCGCGCAGCAGCAGCCGTCGGAGGAACGATGACGCCCAGCGGCGTGCGGCCGCCGGGGCCGCTGGTCGGCTCGGCCCGACCGCGCTCGTCACCGCCGGCCACGTGCCGCCCGGCGCTGGCTGCCGAGTGGCCCCGGCAGGCCTTCCCACGGAAAGTTCACTGCCACGCTGGGATCGGATCTGGGCGGCGTCGTGCGCTCCAGTAGCGCGCGAGATGCAGTAGAAGCCGTCATGCCTCGCCAGCTGGCTGGTTCGCGTAGTTATGAAACCGTAGCCCCCCCCCCCCCCCCCCATCGCTCTCAGTCAGATCATCCATTGTCGACGCATCGCGCAGCCGTCAGCTGCTCACCGGCCTTACAGGCGCGCTCGGAGACACGCAGATGACGAGAAAAGCCACCCGATTTAGCGCGCGACGTCGGTCGCTGCTCGCGGTCCGGTCTCGACTGGTCTGCCTGTCGCTGCTCGCGGTCTGGTCTCGACTGGTCTGCCTCATTCCACCGGCCTCAGTTTCGGGCCAAACGTCGGCGGCGCGCACCGTCCTCGTTTGGCCGAGCGCGGCTGTGCTGCCGGCGCCGACACCCGACTCACAATACATGACGTGCGCTCGTGACCTGTGTGGGGCTGGTGCGGAGCCGGCGGCGGCACGGCACTCGGCGGACGCGCGCGAGCCCGGAGGCGGGAGCCTCGGGCGGCAGCGGCGGCGCCGTCAGATGTCGGCCGGTCCCAGCGGCGGCCGAGGGGGCGCGGGCTGGCCGTGCCATCTCGGGGCGAGATTCTGTCGCTGCCTGGCTATACGTCTGGGAAAGGCAGTGTGCCAGGCTTGGACAACGCTAAAGAGTGACGCACACGTGATGCACGTGATCAAAATCGCGGACCCCGCGCCGTTTTGGATACCAGACGACGCATTTTGTTATTTTCGACCACCTAGTTCAGGCTTGCGCGCTGTTTCCTTGACCGTGGTGCTGCAGTTGGGTTTACCTACCGAGCGCAAACCCACGCGCGGTCTCGCGGTGGTAAGCTATATGGTAGCCGGTCCTGAGCAAGGCCTGGAATCTGGGAATCTGACCCAGGCTGAGGTGCCGATTGGATTCCAATTTTTGGAATTGCAAAAATGTTCCGAAGTACAATTTGTAGATTGGACGGGTGGGCGAAAATCTTCAGTTTTTTTCGACAGCCGGTATTCTGGCGTGTCCCAACTTGGTATGCATCTAGACCTTTTAAATGTAGATCCACATAACGTGCCCACGACCATCCTCTTTATTTCCGCTCGCTTCCAGTGAGGGAATGCAGCTACGCGAGTAGTGCGTACAGTTATTGGTTATAGGCAGTAGCGATTTGATTTTATTTGTTTTTGGACCCTCTTCGAACGGACAGGTAAGCCATCCTTGCACTGTGGGTTGGACCTCGGACAAGATATTCCAGAAAGCTGCACATTTAACCCGGGCAGTGAGACGTTTGTCGCTCACGGAGACGGCGTGTTACGGTGGGCAGCCGGGAGTCCGGGACGGCTTTTGTCGCGCGCGGTCGCAGCACAGCGCGGCGTCCTGCGTCCGTCAGCATCGCGAGAGCGTCGAGACGGTTCTGGACGGACGTTCCCCGCCGCCGCCGTCCGCCGGCGCCGCCTACGGCACCGTGATTAGAGCCCGCGCTCGAGCCGCCCGCAAACATTTACAGAGCCGCCGCCCCCCGCCGTCCGCCGCAGCCGCGCACACAGGCAGGCCCGCGCGGCCGAGCGCGCCCTGCGGAGAGACGGAGGTGTCGGACTGGCCGCGTTTATTCACCAGGCTTACATAAGGGGACAGCTTCCCGCTAAACGCGCGCACGCTCTGGTAGCAATGCGCGCACTTCGCTCCCACACAAACAAGTAAACGCGTAGGATTCTCAGTAGCACAAGCTTTCACGTCAATAGCACAAATATCCCGGAATGATAATGCCGTACACATTCGGTAACTCGGTAGTGGTTGGGTTATGCGGCACGTTCCGGAAACACACTTCACGTAGGGCAGCGCAGCACAAGTTGGGCAATGCAGTACATGTTGCGCAACATCACCCCAGCACAGATAAAGCACACATGACCGGCCGTCGTGCTTTACCAGTCATGCGCGAGTCAACAGCTTCTCGCGCCCATCACCCGCCGTTGATAGCACACGAAAGCTCGACGGAGCCTGGAGGGTGGCCGGGCCGGACCGGAGCGCCCGCGCGGCTTCGGCCGCCGCCGCCGCCGCACCTGCGACACCGCCGCCGCGTGCCGCACCCAGGACCGGACGGCGGCAGCGGCGCCGACCTCTGACGGCGTCTGAACCCGGGGAGGCGGGGGAGCGCGCGCTCGGACCCCAGACGACGCGTGAAGACGAGCAGGGACGCGGCTGACCGGACACGAGCAGGGACGCGGCTGACCGGACACGAGCAGGGACGCGGCTGACTGGACACGAGCGGGGACGCGGCTGACTGGACACGCCGGGGTGACGGCCGAACGGCGCGGCCAGGCCGGCGTCCACGGCGCTCCGTGCAGGCAGCACGTGCCGCCGCGTGCACAGGCCGTGCACCCCAGCTCCCCGCTCGGCAGCTACCCCTGCCGGACCACCGTCGTCCGGGGCGGTGGCGGGGCTGCCTGGAGACCGCCGCTGGCCGGGGAGCAGCAGCAGACGACGGCTACCGCTCCGGGGACGTGCCAGGAAAGTCGTTGAGCAGCGGCTGGTCCAGACACCTGCCGGGCCCAGGAACCGTCACCAAGGCTGCGCGCGCACAGCTCGCTCACCGGACCGAACAGACGCCACATCTGACGCCGACTTTCCCAGACACATTCAGACGGACCAAAAGCAACAGATGCGAACCGGTCCTCACCTAAAGCAACTCCATCACAAATGGCAATAACGCTAATATCGTACAATAAGGCATGCGTTTTGCCATCGAGCGCCGTTTTCCCGCCAGCATCTTAGACAGGGACCTGAGTTGGCACCACACCTGAGATGAACGAAGATTGGTATGAGCGGGGGCGAACCCCATGACACGTCGTTAGGTCCTGGTTAAGTTTACTCCGGAATCTTATTTTGTTGAGTCGCCAGTTACTTGTACGTCATGTCGTTTGCGGTACTTCATGAGATTGTACCGTTCGACCATGCTTGAAGCCTGGGGAAGGATCGTTTTTCCAGTACGAGCTCTAGTTCCAGGTTTCCAGAATAGATGAGTTCGGGTCCCAGCCCTGGTGTCTTCAGTCCACTTGCACGAAACCCGGTCCAGTAATATATCCAACTGTCCAGTCAGAGTCCTAGTCCGAACCATCAGTAGGACCGGTCGACCAATATCGCTGTGTCCCCGGTGCCCCGGCCTGACGAGGTCACAAGGTCAAGTTGCAGCCTGGCCCGACTCTGACGCCGCCGGCGGTGACGCGGTGGTCAGCGCTGTCTCGCACTCAGCACCGCGCGCCGCCGCCCGGCCTGCCGCGTCTGCCCTGACGCGGCGGCGCCCGCCCGCAAGGCCCGGCGTCGCGTCACACGGCGTCCGCCCGGCGCCGGCCCGACAGACAGCGCCCGCTCACCTGACCAGATAGTCTCCACAGAAGAGACACTCACCTAGCCCCGTAGTCTCCGCAGTAGAGATACTCACCTGACCAGATAGTCTCCGCAGTAGAGACACTCACCTGACCAGATAGTCTCCACAGTAGAGACACTCACCTGACCAGATAGTCTCCGCAGTAGGGACACTCACCTGACCAGATAGTCTCCACAGTAAGGACACTCACCTGACCAGATAGTCTCCGCAGTAGAGACACTCACCTGACCGGATAGTCTCCACAGTAGAGACACTCACCTGACCAGATAGTCTCCGCAGCAGCGACACTCACCTGACCAGATAGTCTCCGCAGTAGAGACACTCGGCGGCCACCAGCTGGTCCAGCTCCTCCCGGGCGACCACCCGCGGGCTGACCTGGGCCGCGCCCGCCGCCGCCGCCGCCACCTCGTCCTCGGGCAGCGTGCTCAGCTTGTGCTGTGGGGAGGAGGGGCGGCGTCAGCGGGCGCCGACGGCCGGCCCCAGCCGGTCAGCCGGCCGACGCCTAAGGACGCCGCGTACCGGCCGCCGACTGCAGACCCCGGCCGGTCAGCCGGCCGGCGCTCGAGAACGCCGCGTACCGGCCGCCGACTGCAGACCCCAGCCGGTCAGCCGGCCGACGCCCGAGAACGCCGTGTACGGGCCGCCGACTGCAGACCCCAGCCGGTCAGCCGGCCGACGCCCGAGAACTCCGCGCACCGGCCGCCGACTGCAGACCCCAGCCGGGTCAGCCGGCCGACGCCCGAGAACGCCGCGTACCGGCCGCCGCGGGCACCCATTCACCAGCACAGCACTTCGCTCTGCCCACCCAAAGCCATTATTCCTCTGCGCTAGCTGCCGGCTTCCTTAAATACATGTAGGCTCCACGGGCGGGCTGTAAGCTGTATAATGGTGCGCTTCATTGCGACACGCTCGCGGCCCAGGCGGTGTCGGGATGTTGGCACGCAGTCCGGGCTATGTGGCTGTCAATCCGGTGTCGGGACGGCGCCACGCAGTCAGGGTTATGCGGTCGTCAGTCCTGGACAAATACCGGCCCATTCGGCTCGCTTTGAGCTCTGCAGCGCCGGCTGGGCGGGGTGGGTGGGGGAGCACCGCGTCGACCGCGGCTGCACCAGCCGCATCAGCTGATCATATCACTGCACTGACACGGCGCTTCTCACGGTAACCGACAAAGTTTTTGAGGCCGTGGGTCAAAGGGAAATCACCTTGTTATGCCTACTGGACCTATCCAAGCGCCCACACGATAGACTCCCTAGAAAGCTCCAACTGTAAAATGTGGATGTACGTTGGTTTGCGAGTTACCTCCAAAACTACTTTCAGCAGGTTCTCGTCCAAAACCCAGGTGGCGCTTCCTCTCTGTCCGCGGCATTGCACAGCCCGATCGGAACCTACCAGGGCTCAGCGCTCGGCCCGCTGCTGTACAGCATTTATACTAATGATATGCCGCTGCATGCTCATGACGCATGTATCGTGCAGTACGCGGACGACACGCAGGTTTTAGTGAGTGGGAGGCCTGGTGACATTGCTGCGCTGATGACATCCATGGAGCAACATCTTTCACACCTGTCCAAATGGTTTGGCAAAAACGGAATTAAAATTAACGCACAAAAAAAAACATCTCAAAGTCCTCGGCACGCGCCAAAATCTTCGGAACCACCGACTAGCATAAAATTTATTGGCGTCACTGTAGCCAGCTCTCCTTCCGTTCGAAACCTGGGTGTTGTATTTGACCAGTGCATGACGTTCACTGCGCACACTGATGACGTCGTGCGGCGATGCACTGGCGTTCTTATCGGCCTCAGCCACAGCTGGCACAGTCTGCCTCAGGCCACACTCATTACTCTAGTCCAGGGTCTAGTCATCTCACTCATCCGCTCCCGCATTTGTGTGTACGGAACATGTAATGCTACTTAAACATCACGACTGCAGAAGCTACTGAACCTCGCAGCACGAGTCATCTCTGGGCGTCGGAAATATGATCATGTGAGCGATGTTTTACGAGATCTCGAGTGGATGTCTGCTGACAGCATGTCCTTATATCATACACTGACACTTCTGAAACGTATCCTGGAAAGATCCCAGCCGGAGTCCCTTTCTGGTCACCTTATCCATAGACGCCACGTTCACCATCGCACAACGAGGCAGGATGATATGTTACATGTGCCGGTGATCAGATCCGAATCGGGAAGGCGGCGTTTTGTTTACTCCACCACGACCGCCTGCAACGCACTACCGCAGAATATTCGCGAGCTGAGCCTTCCGCAGTTCGAACGCGAGTTGCGTAGTTATATCCTGCAGCGGCGGATCAATAACGGATAGAGACGCCTACTTCAAATGACTAGTGAATGTGGGAGAGTGCGTTCTGCGTATGTGTGCCTGTGTGTGTACGTGTTTGCGCGAGCCTCCCCGACCTAGTGGTTCATTTCCATGACACGGGCTCTGCAATAGTCACTTTCTGAGTGGAGTGAGCTTATGACGTGTAATTAACAAGTAATAAATCAAGCTGCACTAGCTGCACCAGCGGACCGACCGAGCAGAGCACCGCGCCGACCGGGGCCGCACCAACGGACCGCCGCGCGGAGCTTCAAGCAGCGAGGGCCGCACCAGCCGCACCAGCTGCACTAGCTGCACCAGCGGACCGACCGAGCAGAGCACCGTGCCGACCGGGGCCGCACCAACGGACCGCCGCGCCGAGCTTCAGGCAGCGAGGGCCGCGTCATGCCGTCCCATGACCTCAATCTCGGGCCCATAAAGCCCAGATCGCCGGCATAAGCGGCGAGATCGCGTCCTTACGACACGCCGTCCCGACCTTTAAGAGTGAGCCATTGGCGTCTCGGCCCGCGCTAGGCCCATTGATTGGTGCTTGGCAACGTGCAAGGGCAATCTGCACAGAGTACACCGTTTCTCTTCGCGGCGGCGATTGTGCATTAGAGCTACGTGACCGTGAATCCAAATTAGGCCGGCAGTTCGCATGAAAGGCTGCACAATGCACGCCTGTGCTCGACCAGCACAGCCAGCTGCTGTTAGCGTAGGTTGATCATCCGCATATCGCCGATGATCGTACGATCTTGTCAGCATGCCTTGACACCCGCTCGTATCGGACAGATTGAACATCCGCGTTCAAATGTGGCCGACAACGCCAGTTAGCGGGGAACGTCGCTGTCCCGGCCATGCGCAGAGCAAAGCACCGAACGGCTCTAGCCACTTGCTGGCCAGCGCGCACCACAGCTCTGCTACCTCCTAACAGCGCACCAGCACGACCACGACCCGGTTGGGTGGCGGCAGAGCGCACCAGATGACGCAGCTCTTTAGCTCACGCGTATCATTGCATCTGTGCGGTAGACCATCGATACGCCGCTGCCGTAACCCAGCCTGGCTCACCCGCCGTGCATCGCTGTCGGCGTAATTACTGTCTCGGAGGATGATTGGCGCATTAGCGCACGTGCCGCACTGATTCACAGTGCGCGCGGTGCCCGGAGCCGACTCGAGCGTCACCAGCAGTGCACACGAGACTGTCAGCAGCACGCCACAAATGCATGCGCGGTGAAATTGACATGCAGAGAAGTGCCGAAAAATGCATGCCGAGGGATTTCATCATAGACCGGATCCGTACCGCTATGTGAATTGCAAACACACAGCCAAGACAACAGACGTATTTTTTCCGCCACCCGTGCCTTCTCAGGCAGCCTCCTGCACCAAACTACAGACCACTCCCACCTGACACGTGACACCCACCAGCCGCTGTGGCTCGACGCAACAGTAGTCCTGCCACAGCTCGACACGATTATCGTCCAGGCACAGTTAGAGACCGCTGCAGTCCGGTCACAGTTCGACACGGAGACAGCCCAGCCACAGCTAGACACGGCTGCAGTCCAGCTACAGCTAAACACAGCTGCAGTCCGGCGACAGCTCGACGCAGCTACCGTCCAGCCACATCTAGACACAGCTGTAGTGCAGCCACAGTTCGACACGGGTGTAGTCCAGCCACAGCTAGCACGGCTGTAGTCCAGCCATAGCAGCCACAGCTCGGCTGCATTTCAGGTCACGGCAGCCACAGCTCGGCTGCAGTCCAGACACAGCGAGACACGGCTCGGCTGCAGTCGCCATGGCTCACCTGTAGGTCGGCGGCTGTCTGGCGCTGCGCCGGCGTCAGGTGAGGTAAGACCTCCTCCGTCAGGCAGTCCTGGTGGAACCGGTGGCCGCAGGGGAATACGTACAGCGGCCGGGTCAGCAGCTGGTGCCGGCACACCTGGCACACGTCCGACGCCTGGGGTACAGATACAGGTCACAGGTTGGGTCAGCAGCTGGTGCCGGCACACCTGGCACACGTTCGACGCCTGGGGTACAGGTACAGGTCACAGGTAGGGTCCGCAGCTGGTGCCAGCACACCTGGCACACGTTCGACGCCTGGGATACAGGTACAGGTCACAGGTCGGGTCAGCAGCTGGTGCCGGCACACCTCCGACGCCTGGGGTACAGGTCACAGGCCGGGTCAGCAGCTGGTGCCGGCACACCTCCGACGCCTGGGGTACATGTACAGATCACAGGTCGGGTCAGCAGCTGGTGCCGGCACACCTGGCACACGTCCGACGCCTGGGGTACAGGTCACGGACCGCGTCATTCACAGCCGCCGGGTCTCCACGGGTCAGGCGCAGGGATCAGGTGACCGAGGTCACGCTGGGCAGCTGGTGACCTGACTTCGGCTCTCTGTCACGTGTGACCCCAAAGGACGGTGGCAGTGATATGGTTCAGAAGCAGCACGACGCTGTGCAGTGGTCAACGGCGGAAATGGGGCGGATGGGAGCCGGCTGGCGAGGCCAGCAACACACGCTACACAATACGAAATACACTGCAGCAAACATAGAACTAAAACAGGAGACAGCACTGCACCTGAAAACGTCACGTGCAGCGTGGTCTATTCTCGAACGCCCGACCAGCACAGCAGATCAAAACGCAAAGGTGCCGTCGGCGGCCAGCACCAGCGAGCGGCGCTGGCGGCGCGGCGCGGCGCAGCGCGGCGCACCTGCACAGTGACGAAGCCCTGCCTGAAGTCGGCGATCTCCTGCCGCAGCACGTCCGTGGCGCGCGTGGCCTCCTCCATCTCCTGGCGCAGGCCGCCGATGTGCTCGTTGTACGACTGCGAACATAGGCGCGCCGGCCGCATCAGCCGGTGCACGCCCTGGCACGAGCCACACACGAGCCTGCTCAGCAGCGTCGGCGAATGCCAGTCTGGGAACGAGCGACCCACATGTGTCCAGCGGTGGGGGAGGGGTCCACGGGACCAGGCGAGGCATGGACCACGTGAGACCAGTTGCTAACACCCTTCACATTCGAACACCGGCCAACGGCCGATCGGCGGGCTGGTTACTAGCGTTTACTGATGATGACCCGGCCTGTGACTGGCGTCGGCCGGCCGGATCGGCGGGCCCGTTACTGACGTTTACTGATGCGTGGTCTCACAACCACGCTGCCCCCCCCCCCCCCCTCGGACTAGGCACGCTGCATTCCTCCTTGACGTTTGTTGGTTAGGTTGCTAATAGCATGGTAGTGGCGGTGGTGAGCGCGGTGGCCCTTAATCCATGCAGTTACGCGGTGTCGTAGTTAAGTCCGCACGCCGGCGCGGCAGAGAGGCCGGTCCCGCGGAGGGGGCCGAGCCTGTCTCACCGGGCGCCGCGTCCCGGGCCGGCAGGCGAGCGCTCCGGCCGGCCGCGGCGGGCGACGACGGGGACCACCCTGACCTGCAGCGAGTCGCAGATGGCCTCCTTGAAGTCGTCGATGGTGACAAAATCAGGGAAGAAGGGCAGCACGTCCTCGATCCTCAGCAGCGGACACTCCGAGAGGAACTGCATGGTGCGCTGGACGCTCCGGTCGCACTGGATCGTGTGCTTGGCTGCAGGCCAGGTCAGGTCAGGTCAGGTCAGGTCAGGTCAGGGCAGGGCAGGGCAGGGCAGGGCAGGGCGAGGCAGACCCGGGCGCAGCACTGGCAGTACACACGACAGTGAGTCCCGTGGCAGGCCACGGCGGGGTCGACCCACGCAATGCCGCAACACGCCGCCTGCGGTGCGCCTTTGCAAGCGCACCAGCTGCGACAGAATGCCCTTATTTGCACGCACAAGACAGCCGCGCCGGCGCAAGATGAAGCGCATCGGCACAGATGGCCGCCAGCGGCCGGCCGACCAGACCGGTCAGACCATACCTGCCGGACACACCACACGGCCGGGCCCGAGTGGCGCACGACACGTGCAGACCAGACCAGAGGCCAGGCCCAGGCGAGACAACTCACCGATCACCAGCCAGAGCCGCTTCCTCAGTGTGTCGTCCTCCTCCGGCAGGTTAGCCACCTGGAACAAGCGGGCGGCTCCGGTCAGGCCCCGGCACGTCTGCTTACGTCACACCAGGTCACCTAAACACGCCGACCAGGTCAGGTCACGTCAGGTCACCTAAACACATCGACCAGGTCAGGTCAGGTCACCTAAACACACCGACCAGGTCAGGTCAGGTCACGCCAGGTCACCTGAAAATGCGGGTGACGTCATCACATGTCCAAACGGGTCAGGCCAGGCCAGGGCCAGCTGGGTGGGCACCTACAGGTACATCATGCCTGCGGGCAGTGAAACGCTGACGCTGCGTTCATATGTCCCAGCAGAAGGCAATGGGGACATGAAAAAATCAACACCAATGACAAGGAAGTAATTAATAACGAGGTAGTATGTAACAGTGGGTGCCATCCAAACACTTCAGTACCTAACGTCGGCTGAAAAACGTGTCCGGCAAGAGCACAATATCTGACGTGAACAAACGCACACTGAGTTTCCCCTGCTCCTGAGTGTGCAACAGCCAATCCAACCCAGGCCGGCACGTACTGTGACGTCACACGGGCGCACCTGTTTGGCGAGTGTGACGTCATGCTGGAGGGCGAGCTCGACGGCCTCCTCGTACCGGCCGACCACGGTCAGCACGTGCACGGCGGCGGCCGGCTGGCGCGTCCAGCACTGGCGCAACACGTGACCCGGCGAGTAGCGCACGCAGTGACGGTCGGAGCCTGCCGCGCGCGACCCACACGGCTGAGCAGCGCCGTGCGCGACCAACACGGCTGAGCAGCGCCGCGCGCTACCAACACAGCTGAGCAGCACCGCACCAGACCAACACAGCTGAGCAGCGCCGCGCGACCGCACTTGTCAACGGCGGTACGTGAAAGGCGTCGATAGATGAGAAATTATGACAATACAAGCTTCTGGTCGCGCCGATAATTATCCGTTCGCATGGGAGATAGAGCACCGGAATGTGGCATCAGCGGCTTGTTGCAATGGCTCAGCGTTTGACACCACGACACGGGACCGCTCAGAGTCCCACCGCAGCAGCGCGGCCGACCCCTACGGGCAGGGGGGGGGGGACACCAAACCCCTCTCTCGGTCAGGACTCCCCGCTCCCCTGCTCGGCTCCCCGCAGGCCGCGTCTGCCCGCTCGGCTTCTCACCCTGGCTGCGCAGGTAGTCCATCAGCCGGTCGGGCCGGTAGCGCACGTACAGCGTGACCAGGTAGTTGTGCGCCACGCAGTCGGCGCTGCCCAACGTGTCGATACAGAACTGCAGGTAGCGCAGAATCTGCAGACCCTGCCGGCACACGAGTCCCGGTAAGTGGGAGGTGTCGGGGCAAATGAGCGATATTGGGTAGTGCTCGGGGTAAGTCGGGGTCAGTGACTGGTGTCCGGATAAGTGGTTGGTGTCGGAGTAAGTGGGTGGTGTGGGGATAAGTGGTCGGCGTCGGTGTACGTGGTTGGTGCCGGGGTATACGGGTGGTGTTGGGTGGCGGTTGGGGTGAGTTGGGGGAAGTGGCTGGAGTGGCGGGGCGAGTGGGAGGTGCCGGGTCAAGGCTCGTTTGAAGGCCGGGTTTAACAGTGCTGGTCCTCACAGACTGCACTGGCAAGTGCTGCCGTTATTGGCAACGGCAATTAGAGCTTTTCCGGGCCCTCCAGACAGACGGGGAAGGTATACCTCTAAACACAGGGGCCAAAGAAAACGTACACATTCTACGTTCGCACAACTCCACGGGCAAATACAGCCATCTAATATGATAAAACTGCCCCAAGACTGGCATCCCAGCCACACGAGAGGTCGGACTCGCTCGCACCCTCGCTCGCCGCCTCCCCCGACCCCGACCCGGCCCAGCTGCGGCGGCCGCGGCTGGGCCCGCTGGGTACCTGCTCCTCGGACGTGTCGGCCAGGATGAGGCGCGGCATGAGCGTGGCCGGGCGCAGCTTGCGGCCCTGGCCGATCACCAGGTCGACGGTGAGCGTGGGCTCGGCCTGGATCAGCCGCGGCACCAGCTGGTAAAGCAGCTCCGGGTCCGGGTGCGCCCGCAGCGTCTCCAGCGCTGCCCACACACCCACCGGCGTCACAGCAGGATAGACTCGGTGCCACAGGGGAGTAGGTGGGGTGTCACAGGGGAGTGGACGGGTCGTCACGAGTGGACGGGGTGCCAGAGGGGAGTAGACGGGGCGTCACGGGGGAGTGGGCGAGTCGTCACGGGGGAGTGGACGGGGTGCCACAGGGGAGTAGACGGGGCGTCACAGGGGAGTGGATGGGGCGTCACAGGGGAGTGGACGGGTCGTCACGGGGGAGTAGATGAGGTGCCACAGGGGAGTAGATGGGGTGTCACAGGGGAGCGGACGGGGTGCCACAGGGGAGTGGACAGGGCGTCACAGGGGAGTGGACGGGTCGTCACGGGGGAGTAGATGGGGTGTCACGGGGGCGTTATGAGGAAACATAAAGGAGCATCACGGAATGCTAAGGGGCCACAAGCATGTGTTGCACAGCATACCACAGCGGACACCACAGTCACTAGCACACCGGACGCAGTGCGGGCGGCGCGTACATCATTTAAACAGCGCGTACCGCAGCCCAAAGTGCATAAATATCTCAGACTACAATCCTACAAACAACACATCTCACAACTATACATGCCTTTCCTACGCACAGCCCCTGCACTCATTCATGCCATTTGCACTGGCTTCTGCGGCGCGTGGTCCGCAGAGGCGTACCTCTGGTGATGTGGCCGCTGCGCAGGTGGTGGCGAACCACGGTATGCCAGTCCTGGAGCCGCTGCGCCAGCTCCGGCACCGCCGCCGCGTCGCCGTGGCGCGCCATCAGGTCATACACCGCCTTCCGGGCCCGCTGCACGTGCGTCTGGTGACGGGACAGGAGGGTCACACTGGTGAGGTCGGCCCACCGACGAGCTCGGGTGGGGACCGACCGGCCGCTGCACGTGCGTCTGGTAACGGGACAGGCGGGTCACTCTGGTGAGGTCGGCCCACCGACGAGCTCGGGTGGGGACCGACCGGCCGCTGCACGTGCGTCTGGTGACGGCACAGGAGGGTCACACTGGTGAGGTCGGCCCACCGACGGGCTCGGGTGGGGACCGACTGACCGCTGCATGTGGTGACAGGTCCGGCTCAGGCGCGCCGTCTTTGAGACACGAACGGACTGGATCTACCGAACTGGGAGCGGACTGAGAACGTCTACCCTCCGCACGGAGAGTACACGCGATACACCGCCGCAGGGGCGAGTGCCATGAAGTACGCACCATCAAAGCACTGCAAGCGGCCCGCGAACAAAACGCAGCTAATCTAGCCACGGCATAACCGATCCGCCGCTGGTGCCCATCACCGAATAGGCTGCCACCACTGCGCCACATGACCTCTGTCGGCGGAACGCCAGCTCCCCCGCCCGCCACCCACCAGCGCCTCGTGCGAGGTGAGGAACTGCATCATCTGCTGGCGCAGCTGGTGCCGGGCCGGGTCATCGGCGTCCTTCAGACGGCCCAGCTGCGTCAGGAAGAGCTCCAGCGCCCAGAACACGAGCAGCGCCGCCTGCAGCCGCTCGCCGGCCGACAGCGCCGACAGACGCTGCCAATCAGAGCGTGTCACACAGGAGCACGACCAATCACAGCCGCTCGTCGGCGGACAGCTCCGACAGACGCTGCCAATCAGAGCGCGTCACACAGGAGCGCGACCAATCACAGCCGCTCGCCGGCTGACAGCGCCGACAGACGCTGCCAATCAGAGCGTGTCACACAGGAGCACGACCAATCACAGCCGCTCGTCGGCGGACAGCGCCGACAGACAATGCCAATCTGAGTGCGTCACACGGAGAGACGACCAATCATAGCCGCTGCCCGTCGACAGTGCAGACAGATGCTTCCAATCACAATGCGTCACACGGGAGGCGGCCAATCATAGCCCTTTGTCAATGGGCAGCAGCCAATGATTCTCCCTTGGAAGGTAACCAGTCACAGGCCCTCACCGACCCCCAGCACCCAATCAGGACACGTTTTGGACAGGTGAGCTGAACAACCCTGGCCGAGCCCTGCCATCACAATATGACTGCACTCCGGTACCGTCGCTGCACCTCAGTGTGTCACGTCCAGGATGTGTCACGTCCAGGATGTGTCACGTCCAGGATGTCAGTGTGTCACGTCCAGGATGTGTCACGTCCAGGATGTGTCACGTCCAGGATGTGTCACGTCCAGGATGTCAGTGTGTCACGTCCAGGATGTGTCATGTCCAGGATGTGTCACGTCCAGGATGTCAGTGTGTCACGTCCAGGATGTCAGTGTGTCACGTCCAGGATGTCAGTGTGTCACGTCCAGGATGTCAGTGTGTCACGTCCAGGATGTGTCACGTCCAGGATGTGTCACGTCCAGGATGTGTCACGTCCAGGATGTCAGTGTGTCACGTCCAGGATGTCAGTGTGTCACGTCCAGGATGTGTCACGTCCAGGATGTGTCACGTCCAGGATGTCAGTGTGTCACGTCCAGGATGTCAGTGTGTCACGTCCAGGATGTGTCACGTCCAGGATGTCAGTGTGTCACCTCCAGGTCGTGTCCAGAAACTCACTCAAGCGCTGACTAACTCACAGTCATGAGGAACTGGCGGAGGGCCTCGTACTCGCGGCGCTCGACAAACTTCAGAGCCACCTCCTCCAGACGGCGCTGGGTGTCGGCGAACAGCCGAGCGCTCGCCTCGTAACTGAAACGGGTCGTACCACGCTGACTCAGGGGACCCTGCCACACGGCCGCCGGGGGCCCAGCAGGGGACCACACACGGCCGCCGGGGGCCCAGCAGTTTGGCCCAACCAACGGGCAGTGTGCCGCCCACACACGGATCATCGCTGGCATCTTGCTTCCTATGGTACACCAGCACGCCCCACTTATCCCCGCCGCGTATGAGCACACCCCACTGCTTCTCTGGGTGTACCGGAAGGCCCCACTTACTCTCCCAGTGAGAAGCAGTGCTCGGCCTGGTGGGTGAGGATCTTGTCCACCACTGTCGGGTTATCCTGGCAGTGGCGCCGCGCCAGCTCGTACTGGCCCTGCTGTACCAGCACCTGCCGCCCAACGGACCGACAGTGACGCCGCGTCATACACACGGGACCGACAGCGACACCCTGTTACACACACGGGACCGACAGTGACACCGTGTTACACATATGGGACCGACGGTGACACCGTGTCATACACACGGGACCGACAGTGACGCCGCGTCATACAAACGGGACCGACAGCGACACCCTGTTACACACACGGGACCGACAGTGACACCGTGTTACACACATGGGACCGACGGTGACACCGTGTCATACACACGGGACCGACAGTGACGCCGCGTCATACAAACGGGACCGACAGCGACACCCTGTTACACACACGGGACCGACAGTGACATCGTGTTAACACACGGTACAGACGGTGACACCGCGTTATACACACAGTGGTCCTGGTACGTTACGTGGGAAGCAGTATCGCGCCATATTTCTTTGCACCAGCTGACGACCACTCGATCAACCGCGGCCTGTCCGTCGCACCAGTCGCGCCTGGTTAGGATCCCCGCCGCTAGGGGCGCTGGTTTGCGGCAGGCCGGTGCCAGCGGCCGTTGGAGCTGCCCGCCATCAGTGAATGCTAGCTCGCCTTTTGAGGCGCGGCGAAGCGGCCACCGCCACCGTTGCTGCGTACTGCGAGCCGAAGTCGCAACAGGAGGCACGGGTGCGGGCGCACAGGCCCGACCTTGACGTGACGTGGCGGGGCGTGAGGCGCCGTAACACCCCTCACGGGAAGACTCTCCGACAGAGCCCGCTCACGTGCTGACATGGATCGCTGCCATAACACCCCAGCCCGGCCCGAGTGGAGAACACGCAGCACGTGACCCAGGCCCAGCAGACCGAGCCACAGCGTCCGCCAGTCAGCTGACGCCGCCCACCGCCCGAGTGGAGAACACGCAGCACGTGACCCAGGCCCAGCAGACCGAGCGTCGAGCCACAGCGTCCGTCAGCCAGCTGACGCCGCTCACCGCCCGAGTGGAGAACACGCAGCACGTGGCCCAGGCCCAGCAGACCGGGCCGCAGTCGCAACCGCATCCGAGCCACAGCGTCCGTCAGCCAGCTGACGCCGCCCACCGCCCGCGCATCGCTGCAGCCCCGCCCGACAGACCCCGGCCACGAGCCGGCCGGTGGGCCGGGCAGCGGCGGTCCGCGCCCCCGTACCTGCCACACGTCCCGCGTCTCGTCCACCACCCGGTACTTGTAGACGGCCCTCTCGGCGGCGCTCCACAGCGTGCCGCGCACCGGATCACGGCAGAGGGCCACCAGTGGTCCGTGGGCCTGAGGACACCGGCCAGGCCAGGCCAGGTCAGGTCAGGTCAGGTCTCAGACACCTCCACCAGGACATGACAAAGGGCCACCAGGGGCTCGTGGTCCTGTGGACACCGGCCAGGCCAGGCCAGGCCAGGCCAGGTCAGGTAGGGTCAAGGTATTTGGCAGGTTGTTGACAACGAACAAGATGGGAAATGTCTGTAACACAGATCGATCAGCTTTAAAACCGAACCCGTCCAATGTTGCATGATAAAACACGTCACCAACCAACTGGTATAGCATACCGTCACAAGACTGAGCCAAAATTCCTGGCTATGTGACGAAGCACGGGCTGTTATATTTCACCGGGCATTGTTTGTTCAAGGCCCAGGCCGCGCCCGCTCAACAAACGCCTGCAGTCGGTGTGAGGCCTGACGTCACATCTAATGCTTACCCAATCGGTCGGCACTTCACACAGCCGAGCCAGACCGGCAAGGAAAGCACTATCTCCCCTGCCCCGCCGTCACGGACCGAAGAAAACACCACCGACCGACCCGCTCCCCCCTCCCCCCGCACACCCTACGTCCGTCACCCACCTCGCTGGCCAGGTCCTCGAACACGTGGCGCTGGTCCAGCACGCACGTGGCGCGCACGCGCGCCGCGTGCAGCGCCAGCACGTGGAACTGGGTGAGGGCGAGGGCTCGCGGCGGCTGCCGCTGGCCGGAGCCGGCCGGCGCCGGCTCCTCCACCGGCTGCGGGATCAGCTTGGTCTCCCCCAGGATCGTGTCGGCGCCGCTCGTGTCCAGCTGCGGCCGCAGGCGGTGACGGGCACAGGTCAGACGGCGGCGCGGCACGCAGGCCCTTACCGGCCTCAGTTCATGCCGACGGAGGGAGGGATGGGACGTCCTAATTGGACCTGTACAATTTTCCTGAGCCTGCACCACGGTTGCGATCGCACAACATGAGAATGACCAATAAAGCCGCCTTATCAGTGCCAACGCCTGTCGGCCATTCGTCCGCCATGTCTTGTTGACCTGCTGGCGCCCACAGCCAGCTGATGGCGCCCAAGTCACTGCAGCGGCCGCTGGCCGGGGCCGGGGCCGGGGCCGGGGCCGCTGGCCGGGGCCGCTGGCCGGGGCCGCTGGCCGGGGCCGCTGGCCGGGGCCGCTGGCCGGGACCGCTGGCCGGGACCGCTGGCCGGGGCCGCTGGCCGGGGCCGCTGGCGGGGCCGCTGGCCGGGGCCGCTGGCCGGGGCCGGGGCCGGGGCCAGGGCCGGCCTCTCACCTCTCCGCAGAGTATGCCGGGCTCGGTCATCCAGGCGAACCGGTCCGGCGGCCCGCCCACCTTCGGGTAGAAGAAGGCCAGCCGGGAGAACGCCAGAGAGCTGGGGATCTCCAGGAACCGCTCTGGACGGAAGGGAGGGCTGGGTCACCGCCGAGACGGGGCGCACCGGCGCGGGCGCAGCCGCCACGCACACAGGTCCAGTCAACAGCTCGCAGACAACTCAAGCGCCGATGGGTCTGAGTCAACCACTCCAGTCATGTCGGGAGTCATCATATTGCAGTAAGATATTGCCAAAGCTGCCACATGCTAGCCGATTCTCGACATTCACAATGGTCAGCCCGACAGGTACACAGCCGAAGTCCATTCTACTGGACCCCTGATCCTTAGTACGCTCGGACAACCTCACTTTAGCCCCTTGACCCCGGGCCGGCGGGTAGACTGACCGTTGACCTGACCCTGCCACCCGCTGACCCGACCGCGCCGCCGCTAACCCGACCCCGCCGTCAGCTGACCTTATCCCGCCACCTAACGACCTTACCCCGCCGCCTGCTGACTGCTGACCTCAACCCGCCACCTACTGACCTGACCCCGCCGCCTGCTGACCCGACCCCGCCGTCAGCTGACCTTATCCCGCCGCCAGCTGACCTGACCCCGTCACCTGCTGGCCTGACCCCGCCGCCTGCTGACCCGATCCCGCCGCCGGCTGACCTCACACCGCTGTCTGCTGACCTGACACCTGGCCGCCGGTGGTGAAGATGCCGGCGAGCAGCGGCCGCGCGTCGTGGCTGGCCACGGAGCCCACAAACTGGTACAGCCGGCCGGGCGTGGCCACCAGAGCCAGGTAGCGGTCCGTGCCGGGCACCCGGTGGTGCTCCAGACCGGTGATAGCGGCCGAGGGGCGCTGCTCGCCCACCTCCAGCACCTGAGGCCGGGTCACCGGTCAGGCCCGGCTCACCAGAGCCAGCATCCAGTGGGGTCAGGCCCAGTCAAGTCAGCCCACCTCCCCGACACAGGACGAGGCGGCGCAGGTCAGATCAGGTCAGGTCAGCCACCTCCTGCACCTGACAGCGCGCAGGTCAGGTCAGCCGCAGTGGGTTAGGACTGCACCGCCTTCGAACCTGCCCGGAAAAGCCCCGGGAGCAGCGATCCCTCGCAGGGGGCACACCATCGATGCACAGCTCCTGGTCGGCACACTGGTCGCCGATATCCCCCCCCCCCCCCCCCCCCCAGGCCGTCCGGCCGGCGCACCTGTTTGACGTAGAGCTCGAGCCGCGAGAACAGCCGCTCGTCACCGCTCAGCTCCAGTTCGGTGACGACGCCCTGCGAGTTGCCGGCCAGCAGCGGTCCTGTGGAGGCCGGCGTGGCCAGCGTGTGGCTCCAGCCCACTGCCGTCACCAGCTGGCCCCGCAGCTGGCTCACCTGGCCGACCCACCACCGCATCGGTCACCGACAGGCGGCGCTGGGGTGCCGCAGGGGCTGTTGGCCCCCACACCACCACCGTCACGAGGGCGGAGCGGCGCTGCCTGGCGGACACGCGCCGCCAGTGACGGCAAGCGGCGCTGCTGTGCTGCCGACGCCGGCACAGCTGCCATCTGCTGTGGTCTGCTGTGGTCTGCTGCACGGCGGCGTGTCACCTGCGCGCCGCCACAGGCCAGCTGCCGTACTGACGGCCGGAGCTGTCACCTGTCACAGGCCAGCTACCGTACTGACGGCCGGAGCTGTCACCTATCACAGGCCAGCTACCGTACTGACGGCCGGAGCTGTCACCTATCACAGGCCAGCTACCGTACTGACGGCCGGAGCTGTCACCTATCACAGGCCAGCTACCGTACTGACGGCCGGAGCTGTCACCTATCACAGGCCAGCTACCGTACTGACGGCCGAAGCTGTCACAGGCCAGCTGGCGTGCTGAAGGCCGGAGCTGTCACAGGCTGGCTGCGGTACTGACGGCCGGAGCTGTCACCTGTCACAGGCCAGCTACCGTACTGACGGCCGGAGCTGTCACCTATCACAGGCCAGCTACCGTACTGACGGCCGGAGCTGTCACAGGCCGGCTGCCGTGCTGACGGCCGGAGCTGACGACGGGCCACGGACCTAGAGCGGGGCGGGTACTGAAGGGGATCAACCATAGTCCACTAACGGCGTCATTGCCGGCTGACAAGCTGGCCGGGCACTGCAGCACCAGCATTACAGACACGTGTACAGGGATCACCGCGCTGACAGTGCCGCAGCCGCAGCCGCAGCCGCAGCCGGGCCGTGCCGGCCGGCCGGCCATACCGGGCGCGGTTTGGCGGCGCGGCCGCCGATGTAGAGCAGGCCGGCGTTGGAGAGGTCGCCCTCGCGCGGCACCGTGGCCACCAGCAGGTGCGCCCCGGACGGGTCCAGGAACAGGTGCTGCAGCCGACTGCCGGCCGTGTCGCGCGCCAGGTCCACCTCTGCCAGGGTCAGGAGTCACACATGTCAGCTCCGCCTCTGCTGGGGTCAGCAGTCACAGAGGTCAGGGTGTCGCCGGCGGGGCGAGGGGACTGGTCCTCCGACCATGCATCCCCCTCCCGCCCTCCTTCACTAGCAGACGGACTATCCCATCGTTCCATCAGTGTGGACCGGACATCATCATCATCATCATCATCATCATCGGCATCGTCGGCGCTCGCCCCCTGGGCCTTGATCAGGAGTGAGCTCGCCCCAGAGCGTCCCCTGCCCCCCCCCCCCGTCCGGCCCCGGTGACGCCGCCGCCGGAGATGCTGCCGCTCACCCTGCGGCGTCCCCGGCCCCCTCCCCCCTTCCCCCGTCCGGCCACGGTGACGCCGCCGCCGGAGGTGCTGCCGCTCACCCTGCGGCGTCCCCGGCCCCCTTCCCCCCTCCCGTCCGGCCACGGTGACGCCGCCGCCGGAGGTGCTGCCGCTCACCCTGCGGCGTCCCCGGCCCTCCCCCCCCCCCCCCCCGTCCGGGCCCCGGTGACGCCGCCGCCGGAGATGCTGCCGCTCACCCTGCGGCGTCCCCGGCCCCCTCCCCCCCGTCCGGCCCCGGTGACGCCGCCGCCGGAGATGCTGCCGCTCACCCTGCGGCGTCCCCGGCCCCCTCCCCCCCCCGTCCGGCCCCGGTGACGCCGCCGCCGGAGATGCTGCCGCTCACCCTGCGGCGTCCCCGGCCCCCTCCCCCCCCCGTCCGGCCCCGGTGACGCCGCCGCCGGAGATGCTGCCGCTCACCCTGCGGCGTCCCCGGCCCCCTCCCCCCCCGTCCGGCCCCGGTGACGCCGCCGCCGGAGATGCTGCCGCTCACCCTGCGGCGTCCCCGGCCCCCCTCCCCCCCCCCCCCCTCCCGTCCGGCCACGGTGACGCCGCCGCCGGAGGTGCTTGCCGCTCACCCTGCGGCGTCCCCGGCCCCCTCCCCCCCGTCCGGCCCCGGTGACGCCGCCGCCGGAGATGCTGCCGCTCACCCTGCGGCGTCCCCGGCCCCCTCCCCCCCCGTCCGGCCCCGGTGACGCCGCCGCCGGAGATGCTGCCGCTCACCCTGCGGCGTCCCCGGCCCCCCTCCCCCCCCGTCCGGCCCGGTGACGCCGCCGCCGGAGATGCTGGCCGCTCACCCCTGCGGCGTCCCCGGCCCCCTCCCCCCCCCCGTCCGGCCCCGGTGACGGCCGCCGCCGGAGATGCTGCCGCTCACCCTGCGGCGTCCCCGGCCCCCTCCCCCCCCCCCGTCCGGCCCCGGTGACGCCGCCGCCGGAGATGCTGCCGCTCACCCTGCGGCGTCCCCCGGCCCCCTCCCCCCCCGTCCGGCCCCGGTGACGCCGCCCGCGGAGATGCTGCCGCCTCACCCTGCGGCGTCCCCGGCCCCCTCCCCCCCCCCGTCCGGCCCCGGTGACGCCGCCGCCGGAGTGCTGCCGCTCACCCTGCGGCGTCCCCCCCCCCCCCCCCCCTCCGTCCGGCCACGGTGACGCCGCCGCCGGAGGTGCTGCCGCTCACCCTGCGGCGTCCCCGGCCCCCCCTCCCCCCTTCCCCCGTCCGGCCACGGTGACGCCACCGCCGGAGGTGCTGCCGCTCACCCTGCGGCGTCCCCGGCCCCCCCCCCCCCGTCCGGCCCGGTGACGCCGCCGCCGGAGATGCTGCCGCTCACCCTGCGGCGTCCCCGGCCCCCTCCCCCCCCGTCCGGCCCCGGTGACGCCGCCGCCGGAGATGCTGCCGCTCACCCCTGCGGCGTCCCCGGCCCCCTCCCCCCCCGTCCGGCCCCGGTGACGCCGCCGCCGGAGATGCTGCCGCTCACCCTGCGGCGTCCCCCGGCCCCCTCCCCCCGCCCCGGTGACGCCGCCGCCGGAGATGCTGCCGCTCACCCTGCGGCGTCCCCCTCCCCCTCCCCCCCCCCGTCCGGCCCCGGTGACGCCGCCGCCGGAGGATGCTGCCGCTCACCCTGCGGCGTCCCGGCCCCCTCCCCCCCCCCGTCCGGCCCGGTGACGCCGCCGCCGGAGATGCTGCCGCTCACCCTGCGGCGTCCCCGGCCCCCTCCCCCCCCGTCCGGCCCGGTGACGCCGCCGCCGGAGATGCTGCCGCTCACCCTGCGGCGTCCCCCGTCCCCTCCCCCCCCGTCCGGCCCCGGTGACGCCCCGCCGCCGGAGATGCTGCCGCTCACCCTGCGGCGGTCCCGGCCCCCTCCCCCCCGTCCGGCCCCGGTGACGCCGCCGCCGGAGATGCTGCCGCTCACCCTGCGGCGGTCCCCGCCCCCCTCCCCCCCCCCCGTCCGGCCCCGGTGACGCCGCCGCCGGAGATGCTGCCGCTCTCACCCTGCGGCGTCCCCGGCCCCCTCCCCCCCCGTCCGGCCCCGGTGACGCGCCGCCGCCGGAGATGCTGCCGCTCACCCTGCGGCGTCCCCCGGCCCCCTCCCCCCCCGTCCGGCCCCGGACGCCGCCGCCGGAGATGCTGCCGCTCACCCTGCGCGTCCCCGGCCCCCTCCCCCCCCCCTCCCCGGCCGGCCACGGTGACGCCGCCGGAGGTGCGCCGCTCACCCTGCGGTCCCCGGCCCCTCCCCCCTTCCCCCGTCCGGCCACGTGACGCCACCGCCGGAGGTGCTGCCGCTCACCCTGCGGCGTCCCCGGCCCCCTCCCCCCCCGTCCGGCCCCCCCGTGAGCCGCGCCGGAGATGCTGACGTCACCCTGCGGCGTCCCCGGCCCCCTCCCCCCCCGTCCGGCCCCGGTGACGCCGCCGCCGGAGGTGCTGCCGCTCACCCTGCGGCGTCCCGGCCCCCCCCCCCCCCGTCCGGCCCCGGTGACGCCGCCGCGGAGATGCTGCCGCTCACCCTGCGGCGTCCCGGCCCCCTCCCCCCCCCGGCCCGGTGACGCCGCCGCCGGAGATGCTGCCGCTCACCCTGCGGCGTCCCCGGCCCCCCCCCCCCCCCGTCCGCCCGGTGACGCCGCCGCCGGAGATGCTGCCGCTCACCCTGCGGCGTCCCCGGCCCCCTCCCCCCCCGTCCGGCCCCGGTGACGCCGCCGCCGGAGATGCTGCCGCTCACCCTGCGGCGTCCCCGGCCCCCTCCCCCCCCCGTCCGGCCCCGGTGACGCCGCCGCCGGAGATGCTGCCGCTCACCCTGCGGCGTCCCCGGCCCCTCCCCCCCCCGTCCGGCCCGGTGACGCCGCCGCCGGAGATGCTGCCGCTCACCCTGCGGCGTCCCCGGCCCCCTCCCCCCCGTCGGCCCCGGTGACGCCGCCGCCGGAGATGCTGCCGCTCACCCTGCGGCGTCCCCGGCCCCCTCCCCCCCCCGTCCGGCCCGGTGACGCCGCCGCCGGAGATGCTGCCGCTCACCCTGCGGCGTCCCGGCCCCCTCCCCCCCCCGTCCGGCCCGGTGACGCCGCCCGGAGATGCTGCCGCTCACCCTGCGGCGTCCCCGGCCCCTCCCCCCCGTCCGGCCCGGTGACGCCGCCGCCGGAGATGCTGCCGCTCACCCTGCGGCGTCCCCGGCCCCTCCCCCCCCCGTCCGGCCCGGTGACGCCGCCGCCGGAGATGCTGCCGCTCACCTGCGGCGTCCCCGGCCCCCTCCCCCCCCGTCCGGCCCGGTGACGCCGCCGCCGGAGATGCTGCCGCTCACCTGCGGCGTCCCCGGCCCCCTCCCCCCCCGTCCGGCCCCGGTGACGCCGCCGCCGGAGATGATGTGCTGCCGTCACCCTGCGGCGTCCCCGGCCCCTCCCCCCCCCCCCCCGTCCGGCCCCGGTGACGCCGCCGCCGGAGGTGCTGCCGCTCACCCTGCGGCGTCCCCGGCCCCCCCCCCTTCCCCCGTCCGGCCACGGTGACGCCGCCGCCGGAGGTGCTGCCGCTCACCATGCGGCGTCCCCGGCCCCCCCCCCCCTTCCCCCCGTCCGGCCCCGGTGACGCCGCCGCCGGAGGTGCTCACCCTGCGGCGTCTCCGGGTTGAGCAGGTCGATCCTCAACAGAGTTTTGCTGGCCATGGCGATCACCAGCTGGTTGTTGGCCACCACGAGATGGGTGGTGGGCGAGGTGGGCGTGAAGTTCACCTTCTGCTTGGTGAAGATGGGCCCCACTGTCTGACGACCCTGCCGGAGACGACGGTGTCGCACGCGCTCACATCAGCCCACACGGCCAGGCCCGACGGCACACGGAGCAGCAGGGTCTCCCAACTGCGCTATGATGTCATGTACGTGATAACTCGTTTTGACCTTGAACGCACGACTGCGGCCAAGAAGCCTGCGCTGAAGCAATAATGATCTTGTCTGGGAAGAAGACCACACGGATGCAACCCGCAATGCAGCATACTCCATCTGGCACCAGGAGCATTGGACACTCAGTCCACCTTGCAAACTCATCCCAGTAGGACGGCCGCCCCTGGGCAGGCGTCTCTGGCGCCCCGGCGCGGCTCGACTCACCGCCGCTCCGGCAGCCATGCCGCCGGGCGCCGGCGCCTGCGAGGACCGCTCATACTGCTCCAGCAGACCCGCCATGGCAGCCTCCCGTGCTCAGACCGGCCGCCCGCCGTCAGCTGGCGCCACCTGCTGGAGGATGCACTGGCTCTGAGGGGCAGGCTCCAGGACAGTGGCTCAGGGGGAGGGGTCATCACAATGACATCACATTACTGGCAGTGTGAGGGCAGTGCAGAGAGTGATGCAGGCCACTCCTGCATGGCACAGGCCTAGCCCAGGGTACAACATGAGCACTTCTTAGCATGCCACAGCTCCCTGGTGCCTTTGGGATGCATCCTTGGTTCAAATAACCTTACAGACAAGATCAGTGATGATCCTGACAAATTGCTCATGCTAAGAGCATGTAAAAATTCCTTTTGAGGATCTTGGCTTCTTCAGGCAACTAGTTTCCATTCTTTTCTGAGTCAAACCTGCTGACAACTGATGATGATGAGGGGATGATTTGCTGACAAGGCCAGCTGGAGCCGTCCTATGGCTCTAGTGCACATGATGACCCAGCCACATCCAGCAGCCCTCTCAACTACTGCTGTCGCACCAGGAGGCTGCTGTCACATAGAGGCTGCAGATGGCCTACTGCCCACTATTGCAACACAGCCTCCCCCATGTTGGTCTGGCAGAAGTTACACCCTGTCTCATGTGAAGGAAGCCAAGGGTGATGCAGACTACCTTGATCACTAGGCAGACTGTGGTTTACTCCATGGCTCAGCCATGGCCAGGCTGCAGGAACTCTATCCACCACCCATGAAGCCTTATTCCTTAGAACATTTCCTCTCTTCACACCAAAATTGGCAGCAGCTGTGCACCAAACTCAGAGCACTCAGATTACTGACCCTCTGCACCGAGGATGTTCTGTGACAATGCTCAGCTTATGATGGATATATTATCTGTGCAACATGCATATTTGGTTGCCTAGTGCAGAATTACGAGGAACAGCACTTCAATTTACCATGGAAGGCCACCTTAAGATGCCATTGCTTATTTTTGGTATCTGAAACAAATCACACTAAAAGCTTCTTTGAAAACTCCCATCCTACTAAAGTACAATAAATCCCAACAAGCCAAATGACTAACTCTGTAAATAAATGAGTAGTTACATCCTTCCTCACTGCTCTCAGTACTATTCCCCCATTGAAGGGGGTTACACTACATGCTATAGGCCTGGTAGAATTTTTTTTTAAAAACAGCCAACAGTGGTTAGCAACAACACAAAATTTTAATCATTACAATAACCTATCAGATGTGAATGCTCAGCTTTCAATTTGCTGCCTATATCAAGCTACTAGCTTCACCTTGCATGACACGCAAGCCCACATTAGACAATCAAATAACCTTTTATGATACATTTTTATTCAATGCAGCCGCTTAACAACAAAACACACCTATTTACCGAATGCGTTCGGGCAGGCCACCTCACCACCTCTCGCCCTTTTGTACAACAGTTTAAGGTCCTTATTTTGTTAGGCAGTCGTGTCTGTAGCCCGTTAACATTGTCCGCAAAAGAAGCAGGAAAAAACTGGAGAAACGACGCAATACGAAGCTAATTAGCTACACCTCGCATTTCCGCAGCAGGATCACAACATTCGACTGCCCAGACCTGCAGCGCCGAATGCAAACAGCTGACTAAAGCAGAGAGTAATGCTGGGACATATATAGCGCAGGTGCGACGATATTTCACGCTTGGCTTTCATTTGCAAGGCTGGAGTCTTATGCGTTGGGGCTTGATCGGCTGGATGCGTCCTTTCTCGTAAGTAGTGGTGGTTTATTGTTCATTTGTGATGAAATGCGAGGAGTTACGTAAGTTGTTCAGTGCATTTGCGAGGAACATTATTCACACAGATAAGACAGAATTAATAGCCTTATTCCTCGGAGAAAAAAAACCAGGAGAATGGAGATATAGATGGGTTTATATTTCGGCAACATGCCCTTATCAAAACAATAGCAGAAGTGAAAACTGTAATAACTGAGCAGCATAAACTTATGCTTTTGTTTCGATGAAGGCGTGTTGCAGACATATCGACCCATTTATTTCCACATTTTCTTGGTTTTTCTCCAAGGAATAGAGCTATTACCACTGTCTTACATACGTTAATTGAGAGAAGGTTGTTGTTCTAGTCAGTAGGCATTACCGAACTGTGTTAGTCTAGCAGCATTCACATTTTAAATCCTTTGAAGGGGTGAAAGGGCAATAAAATTAATTAATTTGAGCCCTTGTTGGTAGCGAATCCATAGCTGCAGCCAGGTAAGGGGGGGGGGGAGCAGGGCTGTGGGGCAAGCTCCCCCTTAGCCCTCATTTTTATGTGAACTCCATTGACCATTCCATTGGTTCTGTTATGACATTTTGACTGAGTTTCTGCCCCCCCCCCCCCCCCCTTATGGAAAAATAGCCATGGCCCTGGATTGATCATAGATATCCTATATTTGTAATTGAATGCTTGTGAGCCGAACAGTCCAGCCACAACCAAATACACATATTTTGATAATTATATGCTGCCAGGTATCAAATTTGCCATAACTTTGGTTGCAAAGCACCTGAAGATATGGATGTTTGATGCTCAATAGGGCTATCAGAAAACATTTTCATAGATAGAATAGCATTCACTGATTAAATTTGAACATGCTTTAGTTGAAATAATGTCTTCAAGCAATCTTCAAATGCTTAAGCCCACAAAGTCCTGAAATGACCTATAAAGCTGGTGGGAAGCCTGGGTAAACAGTAAATGCAGTGAACTGTAAAAGTATGAATTAAACAATTTTTTTCTCTGGTAGTGGAGATAGAATACACAACCAGTTTTTCACACCATGTTGGCATTACCTTAGTGATTGAGTTGTAAGGGGACGTGAACTGTGTTATTTGGTTGCACTTAGTTTACTGTACTGCTTTGCAATCTAGTACCCACAGCTTGTGTGGAAATATGAGACTATTACAGATTCATATTAGAAATGTAATCTATGTATCACAGCTGTCATTGCAACATAGCAAAACACTGCCATGACACTACACATTTGCCTGTATCCCAGCAGGCGGCCACATCCCCACAGCCATGGTCAGCACCAGAACTCGCTCCTACCAGCCGCCAGCCGGAGGCGGCCCTGAGACCGGCCCTCCCGCCAGGGCGCCTGTAGCAGGCCGCACCCGCCACGCCTCTCTCAACGCAGCCGCGCCGCCAGCGTCGCCGACGCCGGCGCCGGCGCGGCGGCGGCGCACCTCCTCGCTGACGGCGCCGTCCGCCGAGCCGGCTGAAGCGCGGCCGCACCGCAAGGAGCTGCTGCAGCGCTACCGGCGCCAGGCGGACGCGCTGCCGACGCTGCCAGAGCGACTGGCTGGGTCCCTGGAGGAGGAGAAGGAGGAGGAGCGGCTGGCTGAGTCTCCGGAAAAGGAGGAGCGACCGGCCAAGCCAGAGTCTCCGGTGGAGGAGGAGCGGCTGGCCAAGCCGGAGCCCCCGGAGGGGGAGCGACCGGCCAAGCCGGAGTTCCCGGAGGAGGAGCGACCGGCCAAGGGGGAGTCCCCGGAGGAGGAGAAGCAGTCGGTCGAGCAGAACTCCGCGGAGAAGGTGACGCGCGCGGTGGTGCCAGCGCCACGCGAGGCGGACGAGGCGGCGCCGACCGGGCCGACGGCAGAACAACCAGCGCCGGATCAGGCGGCGGCGGCGCCGGAGGAGGACGCGATGGAAGTGGAGGACGCGCTGACGCCGGCGGCTGAGCCGGCGCCGGCCGCCGCTGCTGCGCCGGCCGCGCAGAGCCGGGGACTCGCAGCCGTCCAGAGGATCCTGGCCGGCGGGCGGGACACGGAGCGTGGTGAGCCACCGCTGCCACCGCCGCCTCCGTCGCAAACCGCCCGACCGCCGTCACAAGCCGTCCGGCCGCCGCCGCCGCCGCGCGGCCAGCCCAAGTCGGGCCGCTTCTGGAAGCCGGTACGCTCGAGGGCATCGAAAGTGCTAGTGCGCGATCCCGTCAGTTACGAGGTGCGCATGCAGAAGCGACAGCAGTTGAAGGTGGTGAAGGCCTTGGAGAATCAGCTGAAGGACGAGCGGAAGCAGAAGCAGCAGGAGCTGCGCAAGCGGCGGGAGTACAACGAGAAGAAAACGGCGGAAAACGCGCTTAAGTCGGAGGTCTATCAGGTCATAAAGAACCCACAAAAAATAAAACGAATGAAGAAGAAGCAGCTGCGCTTGTTGCAGAAACGCGACACGACCGTGGTGGGTAAAAGTGTTCTAGACGAATAAAGGCTTGACATGGCACTACAGGTTGTTAGCATGGGAGGACTTGTGTGTGATTCAACTCTTTTGGGGGCGGAGGGGGCGACTCAGGGCCAGCTCACAGATTTCGTGATCAGGTTCAGCCCATGACATAACTCCGTTCCATTTTTTTAAAACTTTAATCCGTTCCATTTTTTACTCAATTCAGACTCATCACATGCGTTGAATCATTTGGCTCAGGACTCATGTAGCTCACAAAGCGAAGGATCCCACATTCAGTTCTGGCTCGTTGCCCTGTGATTCATGAGCTGTATAATATATATATATATATATATATATATATATATATATATATATATATATATATATAGCATGCATTTTCCATCAAAGCATGGAAAATGGGCACAGCAAGTCTGGAAACAAACTTGAACTTCGAAACTAGCAGATGCAATGCAGCAAACAGTGCCTTTCCTGCAGCCCGCTACTAATCACCTCTCTTAAGGTTGAGCTACTGGTCAGCCCATTCTACCTGGCACCTACGACCCATACGCATTAGTTATGTAGCATGCGACGTATACTTGCCGTTTCTTTCATATAGCCTCAGCAATAGCATGCTTATAGCAGGTCAAGTAGCGAAAGGGATGTCAGGTGTGGATTCGCTCATGATTGTGACAATAGACAATGGGAAGTGTGAAAAGCCCGTGGATTTGATCGGAAGCAGACAATCTTTCACTTACGTTAGCAAAGGGTATGGGAATGCGGGATGTTTGTACCATGCAATGTCCTCTGGCTCCTGGCTGTGGTTTGACAAACTTAACATCAGGATCAACGATATTTTGCTTGCTGCTTAGAGATAGCGATAAGAAACGTGATGCTAATTTTGCAAAAAAGAACTGACTTGCTATGTATGCTGTTCATTTTAAAGCTCTCAACGGTCTGCTGAGTTGCCGTGGGCGTGGCGTGCGTCTCCGTGTCGCTATTTTAATTTGAGCCTCTGACTCTCTGGCACGACATTGTAAGAAACGATCGGCTTACGATTCAACTCATGAAATTTACAAAGAATGTGGTTCAGTTCATGGCTCAAAGCAGCATGCTTCCTAATAAGCCGATTCAGCTCGCGGCTCACCCCGAAACGGTTGACTTTTGAACCAATTGATGATTCAGCTCGAGTCGAACGCAAGTTTGGGCCCGGGTAACAGCGAGGAACGGCGACTGACATTGTCCGCGGAGAAATCCCGCCGTCTGCTGTTAGAACTTGGCGCGGGCGTTCATCTGTCGCCACAGCTGGTGTGTCAGCAGGCGAGCGGCGTCAGCGGCCCTCATACCGGCCCGGATGCTACTAGACGACTAGGAGACGGGGAAGGGGTCTGCAGTCGGTGCCAAACGCTAGTAACTGGGTCCCTTGTATCCGGCTCTTCTGCTCTCCTCCGCCTGGTATCAGTTCAATACTCACCTCGATCCAACGCGTCTCCGCCAAGACACACGAGATAACTGGCCGGGGGTACAATATACGCACCCGCCGCCCGCCTTCACCCAGCCAGCAAATTCGAAGGTCGGGCCAGGGACGCCACCTTACGACTCTCGCGGCTTTGAGTAGGATTGGCCATTGTTCAAGTGGCCCGGGATGATACCACTACAACCGAAGCAGTCCGTGCGGCGGCCACCGAACTCAGCCCCGCGCCAGTCCGAGCGCAGCCCCGCTCCAGTCCAAGCTCAGCCCTGCGCCAGCCCGAGCTCAGCCCCGCGCCACCCTGAGCTCAGCCCCGCGCCAGTCCGAGCACAGCCGGCGCCAGTCCGAGCTCAGCCCCGCGCCAGTCCGAGCGCAGCCCTGCTCCAGTCCAAGCTCAGCCCTGCGCCAGCCCAAGCTCAGCCCCGCACCAACCCGAGCCCAGCCCCGCGCCAACCGTAGCTCAGCCCCGCGCCAGCCCAAGCCCAGCCCCCGCCAGTCAGCCCCGCGCCAGCCCGAGCTCAGCCCCGCGCCACCCCGAGCTTAACTCTGCGCCAGTCCAAGCCCAGCCCCGCGCCACCCCGAGCTCAGCCCCGCGCCAGCCGTAGTCCAGCCCGCGCCAGTCTGAGCTCAGCCCCTCGCCAGCCCGAGCTCAGCCCCGCGCCAGCCGTAGCTCAGCCCGCGCCAGCCCGAGCTCAGCCCCGCACCAACCCGAGCTCAGCCCCGCGCCAGCCGTAGCTCAGCCCGCGCCAGCCGTAGCTCAGGCCGCGCCAGTCCGAGCTCAGCCCCGCGCCAGCCGTAGCCCAGCCCCGCGCCAGTCCGAGCTCAGCCCCGCGCCAGCCGTAGCCCAGCCCCGCGCCAGCCCGAGCTCAGCCCTGCGCCAGCCCGAGCTCAGCCCCGCGCCAGCCGTCTGGAGGTGCGCGCCGGCGGAGCGACGACACTTGATCCGACGGCGTCGGGCCGCGCGCCGAGTTCGGACGGCAGACGCGCACGTGCATGGGTCAGCCGCGTCCGTGATGTGGCCGACCGTTGACGCGTCCGGCCCGCCAGTGCAGTGGTCGCCTGGTGGTGGGGGGGGGGGGAGGGGGGGGGGAGTGTGAGTCAGCGTAGCGAGACACGTGGCGGCTTTGGACAGCATACACTGACGGCTGAGGGGCTCCCGCTCCGGTCGCTTGGCTGTTGCGCGTGCGTGCAGTGCCCATGTTACTAAAGTTGGGCATGCTCAGCCGAGCATCGCCGTTTCGTAGCGTCTCGTAGGGACACAACTAACCGTCGGTCGAGCACCGGAGCCTGACCGGCGCGATCATCGGCTGTCGACGAGAATGTCAACGTGAGCGACGTGTTTTCCTCGCTAAATGTCAGGCCGGTGCGACGTACGCGAAGCCTGGGTATGCGGACTGAAACGATGACAAAGAGCTGGAGAAACACCGCTGGCACAAGGAAGATATGTTGGAATATATGCTTAAGAAGATGGGCTCAAATGTGCAATGGAAAAGTTGGTGCTGCGAACGAAGCAATTGGCAGTGCGATATCTGGGGAAGTGCGCTATGCACGCACAGAAAAACGAATGGGCGATTCTCAGATGGCTGCAGCGCAACGATGCGCGGCGTCGAGCAATTTGAGCCGGGGGCGCTAGCAATCCTTCCGTTACGCCAACGGTGTGGCCCGCATCAGTTGTGAAGACGTGTACGGGACGCGAGTCATGCATGAGTCAAAGTGGGCAAGCTCGCCTATATCGTGCACCCTGGAACCGGAATGTAATGAGAGGAACCTGCCTGGGTGGAATCGAGTTTTGAGATACCTAAAGCTTCCGCTTACAAAACCTGGCCCGCTGCATCCCAGCCAAGCGAGCAGATAGGTCTTAATTTCCATGTTACATACAATGTTACCACATACTAGCTGGCTGAGTCACCTTGTTCAGTGGCAAGCCTGAGATGTAAATACTTTGGAGATTGTGAATGAATTAGGTTGTGAAACCATCAAACATGCATCCTCGAATCGGAGCTGAATCAACTCTGATCCCGCCGCGAACCACGTGAATCAAGGCTGATAATCGCACACAGCGGAGAAACCAATGAATCGGAATCGGAATCGGATTCAGGCCCGAGCGGAATCGACTCGCAGTCGGATTCAAGGCCACTGCAGTCAACCCCACACACTGGAACCGCAATGTAATAAGAGGAAATTGAAAACGGCCGCCTAGCGACATAACAAATTTTGCCTCGCAGGAACTGGAGCTGTGAAGTGTCATCACCCGTAGTGCTGTGGTCTGCGCACGACAACAAACTGCAGGTAGCCGGTCATTGGCGTGACACTGCAAACCCATCCTCCGACTTCAAACACGGCCGGCTGTCATTCTCCTGCAAATTAATTTCCGGCGAGCAATCACGCAGCGGCGGAATCCTGTTTGCCCCACCATTACGGGGAACCAATCTCAGTGACTGTATTGACGGTGAACAAAATGACTGCCAAGCTTATGCTGCATGCATGAGCTACGGCTACCTGAACCGCATGGAGGGAGGGGGGGCGGGGGCAGACCGGCCTGGTGACCCGGCTGCGCGATAAACAGCCGAGCTTGCCGAACCTGGGGATGCCGCACGGCCAGCCTGATGCGCTGAGGGACATGTTTGTATTAAATAGTGACACACGTGTGTGACCAACCCGGCAGGGCAGACCCCTACACCTCCCTGGGCCGAGAACGGGAGGCAGGAGAAGACGGGTGCCACGTGCCAACATTGTATGGTGCACTGCCAGCCGACATCACACAACTGGCACAGCAGCGTTCCGTACGCGCGGTGAGAGCGCAACCGCTTGGGCTCGTATGCTTTTGGCAGTCGGGAAATGGGTGTCCGTTATTTTTCTTTTGCCTGCATGTTCTTTCCTGCTGAGCTTTTGGGACGGGGCTGTAATAGCCACGCTCCATTGTGGATGACCCTATGAAAGTAAACAACCGGTCATGACGGTTTTTATGATACAAATGTTGTCTGCGGAGACCTGTGCAGCAGTCTCTGCCTCGAGCTGACCGCTGGTAATCTGCAGACTCACTGGGTACATTCCGCTCAACCTCCGGGTCTTGGACGTCTTTTGCCGCAGTTTTCGACACCGCGTGCTTTTCCAAGAAGCCTTACGCTTGAACGCATTCCGCGGTGGCTTTTGATGGCTGACACAACTTAGAACATTCGAGTATTTGTAGTTGTTATTATACTGTGGTTATAAACCATTCGGAAGCACCCAAATATGCACTCCCATATCTAAGTCACTCCATAAATGTATTGCCTACTCACCGTCAGCTCTATGCGTGCATCACAGAAGTTTGCTTGATCGGCGATATTTACCTTCCTCCTCATGTTCAGTACAAAACAGTTAAACTTGGCTTTCAAGGCTCTCCAGTTGACGAATATCACTAGGATAAGAGTATTCAGTATGTTGAGAGGATTTAGTTGAAGGGTTGCCACCCTTTCCACGGACAGCGATCCTTGGGACAGAGGCGATTCCGTGCATGTTTTTACCCTGCCGAGTTTTTTACTCTTACCAGTGGCGTACGCACATAGTAGCCCCAGGGGCATGTTTCCCCTTAATACCAAATTTGTGGCAT